CCAAACCACAAAACTTATTCTTCTTAAACCCCTGAATCTCACAATTCAGAAAGCCAAATGCTTCATACTTCCGTGTGCACTGTAGGACCTGATCAGTTCTGTTAGTTGTGCATGGTTTTTTCTTTACACTTTACAAATAAGAAGCCAGACACCAATAGCCACAGCTATTTTCCCTGGCAAAGACAACAAAAACATGATATAATTATTATAATTAAATAATAATAATAAATAACATTATATAACTCCAAAGGAATATATCTATTTTTAGAGGTACTAACGAATCTTTATTTGCTTTCCTATAGAATTTCCTATGATCCCACAAGATATCCCAAATACATCCCTGAAGCATACTGTCTGTGCAAAGGCTGCCTCATGGGGATCTTTGGGGAGGAGAATTTCCACTTCCGCAGCACCCCTGTGTACATGCCGACCGTCATCCTGCGCCGCACGTCCTCGTGTGCCGGGGGCCGCTACGTCTACACAGAGGATTACATCACCATCCCAGTGGGCTGCACCTGTGTGCCTGAGCCAGAAAAGGAGGCCGAAAGCGTAAATTCCAGCATAGATAAGCAAGAGGTGAAGTTGCTGGTGAGCCAGAACAAGCCCTCATCAGAATGAAGAACATATTAGGAATCGTGTTACAGTACTGGCCTCACATTCACATTTCACCACCTCAGGAAACCGCGACACAGCAGCAAACACATTGACTTGCCCTCTTTATCTGCTTAAAGTTATTTCAGTTATAAGATGGAAAGTTTTGTCCAGTCACTCAGATCATTAGAGATGGTGATTCGTATGAAGAACTTCTTTAGTTCATGTACACTTGTTTAGTGAACTTGTTGAGTTCATTGTTGCAAATTCCAAAGTTGCCTTTTTTCTTTTTCTTAGAGCAGAACATTTTATCCTTGCTTATTCACAGTAAATTTTAGAAGACGATGCAATTGTAAGACATGTTAACTATTATTATAGCAGGCTGCTGGTTGTAGATATTTTTAAAGAATCTCTTATACTCTTAAGTACCCTTAAATAAAAATCACATAGCTGCTGGACATGTGCCAAATCAGCAGTTAAAAGGATAATTTCTCAGGCTGGGAGAGCCTTCCTTTACATTGCATAAACTCCAAGCAGTGTTCTTGGCTGTTACATCTTTGGCTATTTAAACACTACAGTAAGGAAACCTTTGCTGAGTTAGAGTTATTAATGAAACAATATTCTATGTGTTTGCTATTTTTAAACTTGCCAAATTGCTAAGGGTACAAAAGTGTTGAGAAAAAACATGCTAGAATATTGTAAAACTGCAGCAGACTTTTCTGATGTGGACTAAATCTAATTACACAGAAAATATCAGTTAGAAAAAACACACTTTAGGTCCCAAGAATTCTGTATTAGATTTCATCCATCACTAACTGCTTAACTGTTTCCTGTGATAAAACTGTATCTGTACAGTTGAAAGGCCAAAACCTTTTTCGTGTTAGGAGAGGAGATTCCCCACTAAAAAATAAGTACAGAGGATAGGCTCCATCTCAAGTACACTGCGGGTGAGTAAGCAGGCTAGGTCTTAACTTCTAGATGCTACAAGAAGTTTACTGAAGTGAGTCCCAGTCCAAACAATTTATACAATTACTGTTACTCAGTTTTCCCTATGCCACACGTAACAATCACCTGCAAGAGCTGCTAGTCCATGGAAGCACCATCTTCCATCTGTGCAGCTTAGTGCTGATGGAACTTGATGGCAAGCCCTAAGCAGAAACCCTGGATAAACAAAAATTTGCATTTCCAGAACAAGAGACTGAATGTTGACTCAGTGTAGTGAATGAGAATCAGGAATAACCAGGCATGCCTTGCACAAACATAATTCCTCAGAGGGCCACACTTGCCAAAACTGATCAACCTCTGAATGCACAGCAGAGTTATCTTTTACAGTTGAAGGAGCATGACTGCAATATTTTTACAGAATAAACATCCTATGCAGCAATGCATTTGCCACATCAAGAATCTCAAAACTGGCCTTTAATTCATAGTGGAGAAAGTCCCTACACTACACAAACACACACTTTGGAGTGTTGTTGGATGAAGAATGGAAAGACTATGAGCTAACCAGAATTAACAAGTTAAACAGAGAATGAAAGTCATACAACAACTACTTATCTTGGTGCACAATTATGGACTGTGCTCTCTATGACTCAGTCTAGCATAACAGTATTTTTTCAGTGCAATTTATGTAACTTCGTACAAAGCCTAAAATAGCTTAACGAATAAAAGATTCCCTTTATGATGTCAGATTGAAGTTTGTAACTGTGTCTTTTGTGCAGATGCTTTTCCTCAATTCTACTTGTCTTTAGATCTGTGTTTCCTCAAATTGTGATGCTTCTATCTCAAGGGAATCCTCAAAGGAGAGTTCAAACAAGGTCATAAAGTGTTTATACTACTCAGAGAACAGCTAATTGCCTAGCTGCTGCCAGCAATTAGAGGTAGTTACCTGTTCCCCAGAGGATGTAAATACTTGCAGCAGTTACAACCACTTTTCCTTCCTCCTAATGTGGAAGAACTTCTTACCCTCTGAGCAGAGGGAAATGATAATCAGAGGGGCTCAAAAGGGAGACAGACCCACAAAACCGGAGAAACACTGCATTGGATGATGTTTCAGCAGCCTGTCATCTTACGGTTTCACTACTACATTGTGGGTATTTTTTCCATACACACACTTCAGGCAGGGTGAAGATGGACCTTCAGACTTCACAGCATAGAAAGCAAAGTCTTCATTGTAAAAGGCAGTAAAATGACCCCAAACAGCAACAACAAAATGTCAAACCACGCAGCATTTAACATGTAGTAAATACCCAGAGGGGCTACCAGGTAAAACTCTGGCTAAACACTGCCCTCCAGCAGAACTCATCTGTCTGCCCACATGCTTTTCTTATACATATTTGTCTGCAACAAATTAGTTATTAGAGCACATGGATATATTTGCATGATGTGGAGGAAAAAAAAAATCTCACTTCTTTTGTAGCAACTCTTGTCCTGCAGGCATTAGTTATTGGAGTAATTTTGAGGTTTTCAAGTAACTAGAGCATGTTCTGGGAATTCCTGGGAGTTGCAAACCAAGATTAGGTAAATGGAACATAATCAGTTTCTTCAATCCAGTAAAACAGATGCTTTAGCTTACGTAGAGCTTCAGAAATTGGATGACTGAAAGTACTACAGAACTGCAAAATCTCAGTGGATCAATAGAATGAGTATGTTGGCAACCTCCTTCTCGTCACACTGCAACAAGTGCAGAAAGCTTCCCATGGTTACAAGCATCTTTATGTTACCTTGTTCAGAAGCCTGTTTTCCTTTTTTAATCTTTACCCTCTTCTGTGACAGACTTTTTAGCTGAGCCAATTTGCTTCCCAGTCCAGCTTTCCAGTTACATGTCTCTTAAAATCCGTGTTTATGTTTTAGCACGAGCAACTGTTGGATAGTTTGTTAGTGAACAACTGTTTGTTAATACTTAACGAACTATTAGCTACACAAACATTTGTTGATCTTCAAAATACCCTTCCATCTATTCTTTCTCTCCACATTACTCATGTTGAAAAGGTTGAGTATTAAATGTAGTTTGCATTTGTTTGGAATTGTTTTGTTTTTTTTTTTAACGAGGTCATCACATCATGGATTTATATCAGTTTCACTTCAAATGTGGTGTGACATTTTCCAGCTTCTAGCCCTCTGGTTACAGCTGCTGCAGCCTTGCCTTTAATTTGCATGGGGGAGGGAGGGTTCATTGGAGTTGCTTCAAGGTTTCACAAACTGTTGACAGAAGGCAGACATGAAATGCCTCATTGAACCAACTCCAGCCCCAATAAATGCAAACAATTCAAAGCTGGAACTATCTGGCAGCTGCAGCTGATTTGAGAAAATTTTTTGTTGTGCCAGGAAAATCTTTTCCTTCAACGAGGTTGTCCCTGGAATATATTAGAAGCCACAAAACACAGAACAATATCCTTGGTAAAGACATTATTTTCTTCTCTGTAGTATCGCTTAAGATAGGTTGGACAATTCCTGTCATTCAGGAAGGTTGAGAAAAGCCTGAGATGCTAGGTTTGGTTTACTTGCCAGTCATTACCTGAAGATGTTTGTCTGAATAGGTAGAGATCTACAGCTGCAAGTGTACATGGAATTGCATGGAGGAACGTGAACACGAAAGCCACAAGGGGAAAAAGGAAAAAGGCTGTAATGTGGTCACAAAGCATTAACCCCATTAATCCCCGTGGGATTAGGGAACAGCCATAACTACCTGGACTAGGGCACAAGGGAGATCCAGTCAATCCCACGTGTTTTGGTGGCATGAGCTACCACTTGGTTTTGTGGCACTCCCATCTAAGGAGGCTGCAGAACATGAGCAGACCCAGAGCAGCAGCACAGCTCTGACATTGGCTGACGAGGGGCTTCTGCAACCTGTTTCCAGCTGCCCTGTTTCCCATCTCAGTGCATGGCACTGGGGCTGCTCCCAGGTAACAAAGGCAAAGTGACCGAACCAACCATCAGAGATACCTCCCAGTTGCTCTGGTCCAGAGGGGCACGGGCAGAGGGGTGGAAGCAATTGTGTGGCAGAGACAGGCTACCTTTGCAACACCCAGCTGAGGGTGATATTTTTAACAGAAGTGCAGAACTTATTGGCAGCAGTACCTTGGACTTCATGCAACTGCATTTCCAGAAACATTTCATTTCTCATCTGGGGTGAGGTGCAGGCAGCTGCAGTGTATTCTATTCACCTACGGCCACCAGCCTGTGAACAAGCCCCCACATTTTCTCTGCCAAGTGTCCCAGCCATACCAGCAGCAGGGCACTGAGATGTCCTGCTCCTGCACAGTACCTGTTACTGCAGATAAGAGGCTGTAGCACAGGACTCTGTAGTCATAAATGCCCCTGGAAAAGCAGCATGGTGCTAACACTCACCAGTCTGCTCCAACAGAAAGTCCATCCACGAGACATCAGCAGTAAGGAAAATCAATCACTACTTGACACTGATGTTTTTATTCATAATCCTATTACAGAAGAGAGATTTTGTTGTCACATAATATTTCTTAATGTTACCATGATGGCACAAAGCACAAATTCACTATGAATTTTTGTGACTTGTACCTTCTCAGAAATAGCTTCTGCCTTGGAATCATGTAGGACAAAAACAGCTTACCTTCCATCACTGATGAAGTCTGTAAAAGCCCCCAGTCAAGCTCTGCTTGGGCAGCTGCCTGCACTCATCAGGTTTTTAAGAGGGAATTTGGTGGACAACGGGCTGCTCTGTTGAGTGCATCTGCACAGATTTATATGTACTCTCATTTTCATAACTGTGCATCTTCACAGTGCCTCTTTTCAAAGCTGTCTGACCTACATGTGAGAAGCAGCAGTTATTTTCTTGGAAGTGAATTTCTTGGTATAACTGAATGGTGCAGTTTTATTTTTTTTTTAAGAAAGGTCTCTGATGAAGCTAGCAAAGTTGTCTTTTGATTTTGCTGTAGAGAGCCCAGCAACACACATTTACCAAAATAAAGCAAACAACTGAAGGAATTAATAGCAAAGCAGCAATACAGGTGAAGCTTCGATTTGAACAGCACATTCTAATTTGGGTGGATGGCAGGGGAAGAATATCCTCCCTTCTGACAATCATACCTGTCCCCCTTGAAGCCTCCATGGAGTTATAAACAAAGTTTCATGAGTTATTTCATTGTCTCCATCTGCTTGGTAATAAACCAGTTTACAATTGTGAAGTACAGACTTGTGCCAATAACCGTGCAATTAACACTCTGGTTTGCTTTTTTTTTTAAACTGGCCACATAAAAGTGATGGTGAAGCCTCCTGGAGAACAACTAAACCCAGCTGTATGTCACCTGTGGACAGGCATTTTCAGGGGGGATCCTGGCTCAGTGGCAAGGATGGCTTCTGGTTTTGGCCATGAGCTCATTGGAGGCTGTCAGAAGAGTCTGGTGCCTGTTCTCCTGCAAGCGCTGCCTCTGCTGCACTTCTCTCGTTTAACAAACCTGTTGCCTGTCTGACAGAAGCCAAGGCCATGAAAGAGAAAGAAAACTGTTATAATGAAACTCAGGAACAACAGGTATAAAGTGTGAGGAGGGAAAAGCCTTAGGAAATAAACAGATTTCTTGGAAAATGGAGAAGAGAGCTACAGTGGCTTGGATGGTTATTTATGAACCACTGTTGTGTCCAGCTCAGGCAGCACGATACTCTGAGCACTGAGAGAGGATTATATTCTATCTACATTATTCCTCCTCAGTTGTTTACTCAACCAGATGGGAAAATCTGCATGTAAACAGCAGGAACGCACAGAAACATGAGTGTTATCTCTACCTTATAAAAAGATCTCGTCTCACAAGCTTAATAAGGTTTATTCCCACTGCAAAATAAATTTCTCAATACTTCATTTTAGGTGATACATTTTGTAGATGCAGCATTTCTGGTAGCCTTTTACACAATATGGCATATAAAGACAATTACTTGTGTTTTGTACAGTGTATTTATAGATTATAAACTGTCGAGTGCCTTGGAATTTACGAACCAACTTTCACCCAAAAATACATTAGTAGTGTAGTTAGTCAAAACTAACTTTAGAAATTCCCAGTTACCAAAAATGTCTACTATCCCAAAGCAAAATTTTTCTAATGTATAATCTATTTTGATTGAAATATAGTCCAAACCTTGTATATAAAATCTAACATTTGAAACAGTGGGAGTTTATCAATACATTACATTATTCCTCAGTGGCCTTTTAAGATTCAACAATTTCTAAGAAATTCAACAATTTCTACTGCTCTGCTGTTGTCTGTGGAACAGGAGAGAAAGAAAACTGGGCAACTGGAAAAAAACAAACTGTTTTTGTAACTATAAACTTGATATACCTGTAAATCATCTTTAGTTTGATATTGAAATCTATTAAAAAGCAGGCAATATATTTAATCAGAACCGCTATGATTCAAGATTTAAGGGACTAACATTACTACAAGAGTATCAAGTTCTTTTGCAATGACAATTCTGATGTCTGCAAAGCAAGTACCATGTGTTGTTATAAGCTAAAATCACTTCAAAAAGGTCTCTGAATTGTAAAAGTTACCAGTTAGAATTAAATTCAAACAGAGAAGTTCCTGTTATCCAGCCCCTGCATTGGTTGGTCCACATTTACCTAATAGGTAAAATACAAACACAGTAACTGCAAATGCTTACTCATTTAAAAGAGAGAGGCTAACACGTGTTGATTAAAGCTAGCCCAGGAAATAGTACTCAGAGCTAAATATTTCAGCACTGAGAATTGTGGAGTCACTGATAAAAACCAGAAAGCAGCTTGACTGAAGAAGTTGTAGATCTTCATATGAGAATCAGTCCAGTCCAGAAGCATAGTTCACATAACATCGAAATTCATTGGCTAAATTTCGCAAGTGTTTTGGAATAAACTTGCACATCTTCACGCCAAGATGCTTTGCTGCCTGTTCCTCCATGATGGCACCTGCAGCAAAAATAATTGGTATTCAATAAGAAAAACAGTAACAGAATGTTTGGACTTTTTTAGTAGCTCCTCACAAATGCATATATAATACAGCCTGATTTTTTTTATGGAAGGAAGGCTTAAAGCAGCTCCATTGTCAGCCTTCCTTAGCAACTGAATCTATTGAGAAATTTAAAATAAATCTAAAAGAATGGAAGATACTCCAAGGAAACGAATGTCCAAAAACTTTCATAAAAATAGGTAGAGGGTATCAGTGCCCTTTATACAGAAAAGAAACTCGAACTCAGTCTTCTTGCTACATGCCAAGTATGTAGCAAGTTAAATGGTAGGGAGCCATGGGAAATGCAAACAGATTACATATACTTTTCCACTTAAATAAACCACAGCTATGCACTGAGAAATCACTTCTTGAACAGTATTTCTCAAACTTTGTAAACTGAAGGACCACCTACCCATTTTAGGCAGAACCACCCTTGTGCGTGACTGCCATGAGCAATTAAGCCAAGAAGCAGACTTTCTATGGCCACGTTTTAATTTTTTATTTACTTTGCCTGCTTGGTTGACTTCCCCCAAGCTGTATGTAAAAAGGGCTTTCGTCCTTTGCTTTTTGCAAAAGTTTCCCGGATGTCTTCAGATGTCTTGTAATAACAATTCAGTTTAGGAAATGACACGACTAAGGCAGATACACATCACTTCTTAAGTCAGCAAGTGCATTTTCATAAAGAAGGACCTGCAGGTACAATTATCTAGTTATCTAGTTTCACTGCTTTTATCACTGGTTTTTAATTCCTCCTGCTGTATTTCAGTGCCTAGGATACCAACAGTAAGTTGCACCTATGTTTGCCATACCCCGACTTCAATCATTGCAATTACAGAGAGTGGCCTTCTTACAAGAGAAAAAGTATTTCTGGAACTTTGCAAGATCATCTTATAATTCTTCCAAAATTCAGTAAAACTCGTAATGCTGTAAGAAAAAAACCTGACTTTCAAAAGTCCTATTAAAAACCATTTCCTCCAGTTTAAAACAAAGGTTGAACTCAAGTATTCAAATATAAAGCTTAGGACACATACTGCCCCTTAAATTAATGATAATTTAATATTACAGAGTTAGTATTTCTCTCACATGAGTAAGCTTGTCTTTTAAGAGAGAGAAAAAGATCCTTATGAGGACCTAATATTTTTATTAGTTATACCTGTGCAAAGCAGTATCTTTCCTTTTGTCAAGTATTTGATCGTCTCTGCAGTTTTCTGAAGACATTCCTCAGACAGATAGGGTGGATCTGCTATTACAATGTCAAAACTGTGTGGCAGGAGATTTTCAGGTAAGTTCAAAGGCTGGTTGTAATCATAGAAGATAAATTCTTCTCCATATACAGAAAACCTTCTGTCGTACTCAAGTATACACACTGAAAAATCTTTACCATCCAGTTCTTTCAGTTTCTGGTACACACTCGGTGCACTAACACATGCTATCCTGAAAAAGACACAATAACTTAGAATATTGATTTAAAGGGCAAACAACAGCAACAAAACCCCTACTCCAGTTGTCATAGCTGCTTTGGGAAAAACATTTTTAAACATTAGTCCCCAAAATGTAAGGTATTCTTTCTCCATTCTAACAACTAATTACTTTAATAACTTTAAGCCATTACCTATTCAACCTCCATGCTGCACAAAGACCTTAAGCCTAACTACAGAGAAAATCTTGTTTCAGAAAAGCAAAAAAATATACTTGAAAACTTAAAATTAAAAATTACTTCTTATAGAAATAGGAAGAAAACAACTTTTTGCATCTGTTCTACAGAAACATTGTATAAAACCAGAGAAAATAATTACAAGTTATTAATATGCTCTAGAGCTCTCTGTATTTCTCAAAAAATAAAAAGATTCATAGTAAGCTTTTAATAAGACACAGCCTACAGCATTCAGTAAAATGGTAAATGGGAAGATCAGTATAAACTATTAACTAAATAATAGCAAAGCAGTTCTGCAATATTGCAGTTGAACAAAGGTGAAGTACAATGAGTAATGAATTAAACTGCATACTCTCTGTAGTAGAAACAAAAGACATGTTAAATCTACAATGCCATTATTAAATCCTACCTGCCACCTTCTCCAGCTGCCACAACCGCTTCCTTGGCCAGGCACGACGCAGTTTCATCGCTGTACCAAAACTGGCTCAGTTGCTGAGAAATAATGCACAATTAAAAGCAACATCAAAACTTCTGACTGTGTTATGTACAGTGAGGTGTGGTGAGTCATAACTGAAGAAACCCAAAATCCACAGCAACCTCCCAGTTCATAAACTGTAATGCTGGAAAAGTAACTATTTTCCTGACAGTCTTTCTACTTCTGTAATCTGGGTAGCTTACACCACCACGTTTCCAAAGCATGTATGGCACTATCAGGAAAACCACGTAATCCAAACCACTGACAAGGCTATTTCAAACCCCATGTGCAGATGCACAATACTTATGTGCTCTTAAATTGAGTTACTTTAGCAGAAGAAGAAAAAGGACCTTGAAAAGTGACAGTATAGAAAGAAATAAAGGATAAACTACTAAATCAGAAGGGATCAGGAAAAGGAAGTGCAAAAAAAAAACACCAAACAATCCAGAGGCAAATCAAAAGTCAGTCTGTCACAAATAAAAACAAGCAGTGAAACAGCCATCCACAAAAACAAAGAAATAAAACACAGAGAGAAATATGAAGTGAAAGGAAAGATCACTTGATCTTGTTACACTGTGTTTGTCTCAGTCTCAGAGAGGAGTCCACTACCTTCACATGCCAAACTCAGGTCAAAATTTCCAGAAGGGACAGATGTTTCTGTCAGCAGCTTTATTCCCCCTCCATGTACTTTCAGTTTGTACTCCCCCACACATGTAGAAGAGACAACTATACCCAGATTAAATAGTAAAACAAATCTCCCTACAGTGTTGCCATCCATGAATAGGAACATCTTGAGTGTTCCCCTTTTTAATTTAATTTCATTATCCATCCACAAAAGAAACTCAGTAAAGGCTACTCCTCCATCTGTGCTTCATTCACCGAGGTTTATAGTTTCTTACCCAATCTTCTTCTATTGAGCCAATGGAATATTGATTAAACCCTTGGGAGGTCTTCATGCCCTCTCTCTGCTGCTGTTCCAAATAGAACTCCTGGAGGGCAGCCAACGTATGGGATGAAAGCTGAGGAATGTCATCGTCATCATCATCCATTTTCCTAGACGTTAAACAGAAAAACATAAATTCACTAAATCAACCTTTTCAATGGTGAATGCTTTTAATAACAGCATAATCTTCTGAGATAAAACAAATTCCACCAACAATGCAGCTAAAAATAAAAACTTCCTAATAAAAGAAAACATATTGCTTCTACTTAGGTGGTCTTAAATCAGTGAGAGGTCAATCGGAAATAATGTCTCCACAGAGAATTTAGGAACAGTAGCAACACTGTTCCCTTTCTGTACAACACAGATTTGGCTTTTATTCTTACAAGGAAGTTGTCATTACAGTTCTTGGTTTCCTGAATCCATGTACTTTGTATGTATCACCTTTCAGAAAAAAACTCCTTTAGTGGATTTGAAAAATCCCATAGAAATTATTCCCTTTTCTCCTAGAAATAATGATAGCTACTGGTCATTCCTCTCCATGTTCAAAGTTACACAATTTTGACTCAAAATGAAGTAAATCAGCATTCTAGGTCAGCATCACCTGGCTTTAACTTCCTTGCCATAAAAAGATTCTTCTGAATGCCAGAAACTTAAAAAAAAAAAAAAAGGCAGGTAAGAAGCTCATAAAGATGTTTTTCTAACCCTACTCCACTGAAAGCTTGTGCATTTTGCGTGTAAAAACCCGGACATAACTTGTATCAAGAGACACGGTATATACTAATGGAAAAGTACAGCCATTTCCAGAGAACTCTTGACATGGGTTCTGCTGCGCAGAATGCCTGAGCCCTGCTGACCCCAGGCAATGCAGCAGAGTTTGTGTCCTCTGCAGAAGGGACGGTGCCACCTCGTGGAACGACAGTGCCAGAAATGACCCAACACGTGGAAACTACTGGACGAAACCGGAAAATATTCTTCTCTGAAGAAACCCATTTTCTCTGCACCCAATCTCAGAACTAGCACACAAGCAATGACTTCAGCAGAACCTGGAAACGGGAGTACGCCTGACTTTATGCAGAAGCCACTGAGAACCACGTACCACCTGAACAGTGCGTAAACGTGAGTCATTTCAAGTAGAGCCACTCAGGGTTTTTCTTCTCCCTGTCCCCTGGACTGCAATGAGAACTCCAGTCTCCTCCCTGTCAACCCTTCCTTCCACTCTTGCAGAGCTTTCAAGATGAAGTTTCCTAAAACAGCTTCTCCCTGCTTGCTGGAAAAAGATACCTTAACCTGCCACTGTGGGGTGACTCACACAGTTACTTACCATTCCGGTGACACCGTACGCACCTACATGGGATAAGAGGAAAGCACTTGGCTTTTCCAGAATATTGCTTACTGGCTTGCTGGCTTCTCAGGCCAGGCTTGCAAAACAAGGGATCATTCAGAGCCTAAAAACCCACCTATGGTGTTAGCCTCAAGCAAGAGGAGAATTTCAAAGTCAAGCTACCTAGTAAGACCAAGATCATAATTTCCCCCCCCATTTTTAAAAATAAATACATTATTAAATTATGTATTGAAGTATTTTTTATAAAAATGACTGCAAGTTCAGACAGATAATACAGTTTCTAGACACAATGCTCTTACAACACAAAACACTATGATCCCTTTTAGGCCCTATACAACAACGAATTTTCATTAGGACATGTTAGAAATTTAAAATCACTCCTTAACTCACAACTTTTTTTTTTTTAAGTGACTGATACATGTAAGTAATCTGGTTTGCTATTATCCCCTAAGCAAGGACACATCTATGCTTTGACATGAAGAAACTGAAACAGATGCAAAGTTGCAGCTCTTAAGTCAAAAGCTGGAATCTTTATTTTCTCTTCAGTGAGCCCATACAGGCATTTGCAAGGACTAAATCCATGCCCATGAAATGAAACCCTCACAGACAAAATTGCTGAAGAAGAGTTTCCCACTGTTTCAGTAGATAAAAAGGCATACTCCCATAGACATCTTTTATCTATTAATAATTTTTCAGTTTACTTTTTAATAGCCTTCCTTTTGGTTTGTAAATTAAAGCCTTAGGAACTAAGCAGTAATTAACTGTGAGGTTGCAAGGAGAGGTAACTCAGAACATATGGTAGAAATATATTGTACATCTATTACGAATACTCCCAAAATTCAATATATTTTTCTGAATGCACATATTCTGACTTAGGTCATTAGCATGAACAAATTCTTGTCCTTAAGAACTACATCAAAAAACTATTAAAGTGAGTTTATGTGAAAAAGACTTGTAAATCCTTTAAGGGAGACAGTTCTGCTGTTTGAAAGCCCCTCTATACCCCTTCCAGTTCACTGCTCTCAAGTCCAGAAGCAACCCTGAAACATTTGGGGGAGGATGGGAAGAAGCACAGAAACCCACAGTGCCTCTGGCTCTTAGAGAACCTTTACACTCTTAATTCCCAAGGCCCCTGAGGCTCCAGTTGACCCATCTGTGCTTGCCCCAGGCCCTGGGTCCCTCACCAGCAGCCCTTTCTCTGTCCTCATGTAGAGTCCCTACATGAGCCACACAAGGGTTCAGGGCTGCGTTTTAGGAATGCCCTGGGATTCAGAGCATTCATAACACATACAGTGCTGATCCAGCCATTCTACCTACACTAAACCCTTGTGTTAATAGGAATGCAAAGTTTAAAAGTAGCAAAGTGACAGATCTTCTTTACTATTAATTCTTAGTTTACATGTTGCATTTGCACACAATAAAAAAAGCAAAATGATAAAAAAATCAGATCTCCAAGAATAGCTCAAGAACACTGCATGAAGTTTAGGAAAACAAGACTCATGGTGAAGTAAAAGTTAGCCTAAAGGAAAGGAGGAAAAAGGGGGGGTAAGCTTGCACAGATTCAGCAGAACAGGAACTATTTCAGGCAGGACTGTGTTCATACAGTAAAATGGCAAATTTAGATGCTACTGGTCTCTAAAGGGCCAGATCTACCCATAAACCAGTAAAAGTGAGGTGACTACAACTGCACCACGTGGCCTACAGTGCAGCAGGCAGGAGGAAGGGGGTGGAGGTACCTGCAGACTCCTTAGTCCCTTCCCTTCTGCACAGTTCAATCCCTCTTATTAGTTCATGAACTGTTCAGGCAAATGTCATCACTACAGAGTGAAAGCTCTTCAAAGAAAACAAAAAATAAATTAGCACAGGAGACTCCAAGGCCTTGTCTACACAAGAATCCTGTACCTATTTAGTGACAGTTTCCAGATGTCATGTATGAGAACTCTAATCTTATACAGCCAAATTCTAAAACGAAGGAAAAAAATACCCTAGGTTAGAAGGAACATAAGTATCAATGCTATAGGAAAAATTAACAGTCTTTGGTCCCCAGTACATTTGTTCCACCTGTAATTATGATCACCTGAAAAACAGTATTCTCAGAGACAGAGCACAGCCCTTACGCCCAAATGGAACTGTGCCCCTGTCCAGAGGTGTCTGGAAACCTGCAGTCATAGGTCAGCTGAGATAAGTGCCCTACATGCCCTTGCACCACTGCTCACCCCACAAAGACAGAACACGCAGCTTGCTCCAGAGGTTAGATCCTTCTAGATCCACAGCACTACTCAAGAGGAAGTTCCTCTCATACAGGTAAAAGCAGGCAGGAGGTGGGATCTACATTTACAAAGTCACCTCAAAAAATACTCTCCTGGTAAAGTATCCAATTGCTGCTTCAGAACTTTTACCAAGAGACTGCACCAAAGGTGACTCCAATGTCTCTCTGCCGAAGAGGCTGCGTCAGCCTAAACCCATACCTGTAAGTCAGGGCTCCCTGAATGCCCACACAACTTGGAAATACCATTTGCTGGGTGTACAAGCCACTTTTCACTGCTCATTCTTTTGTGGCATCCTAAAGATGTCATCTCATTGTAGTAAAATGTTCCTTAGCTGAAGGGGAAAGGAGAGACTGCTGAAAGGCTGTGGAATAGAAATACAACTGGAAAGCCACACTGTTCATAGCTGGGAAGGGGGAGGAAGAAGAGAGTGTATGCACCTTAGATCTTTTACCGACAATATAAAAAGCACATGTGCAACTTCAGAAAAGATCTTATTCTAGAGTAACTTGGATCTAAAGACAGAGAGCATGAAATGGAGTTAAATATAGCTGTTTGTATTTCTTCCAACCTGCCCAAGTCAGTCTTTGAGACAAGCAGCTCATCATCTATGGTGTCTGTAGCACACACCAAGAAAGGCTGGGCAATGGTGCGCAACCATAATGAAAATCACCTGGAAGGGGCTCCAACCACCTGCCTGGAGGTAAACAAGCCCTGATCTGAGGGACTGGAATGGTTACTAAAGGCCAGACACATGCCTTGATACTTCAAAAGCCAGAAGATACTGCACTCTGCTCAAGCTTGAGCTTGTTATCATGTACAGGAATCCAAATGCTGTGTCCGCAGACAACCTGCCACAGATCTGAGACAGCTCCATTTCAGGATTAAGTTTGAATAACTTTTTGTTCATGTCCATGGCAAATGGTTCAAGAAGAAAGCTGTACTAGTTCAGGTCAAGCGTTGATACCAGTCATTCTTGTGTCCTCAAGGATTGATACTGGTCATTCCATCCTGAAGACAGCCAAAACCATTGCCTCAAAAGGACTGAGGTAAGGCAAATACGTGTGATACCTCCCCACTCTATACTCTCACAGACTTTAACCATTTTCTACTAAGGAAGCTGTTTTTGCATCTGAAGTGGTTCATTCCATGAATGCTGTTCTCAGAAACACTTGTCCAGTATCCCTCAAATTCCCATAAAAGTTTTTCATCTACAATGTCATCTAGTAAGAAGCTTCATTTTATCAATCATTTTATGAATAACTATCTCTTCTTGCTGTGACAGCATGCACTCACTTCACATGGTGCAGACACCTGGTGTGTCAGAACAGAAAGCAAGTGGTTGAGCCCTACACTCTCTCCACGTGTCATTTCACAGACACCTCTAAGACATCCCCTTTCCCTCACTCAGCAAACTGGCTCTTTTCTAGCCTGAAGGGTGGTAACCCTCTCTGATGGGTTGACAAAAGTCTTTCGATGCATTCACTCTTCCTTGTTGAATCCTTCTAATATACCCTTTTTTTGAGCAGACTAGAACTCTACACAATGTCTAAGATACGAGTGATCACGTTTATGCTGTTGTTTCATGATGTTTTCTGTTACATTCTATTTCTTTTCCCAAAAAATTCTACCATTTGATGTGTTTTTCTTGGCTGCCACCAAACAGTGATTTTGTGTTTTTTGAGAATCATGTATCATAATCCCACATCTCCTGACTGTGTGGGAATTGTGTCTGATAACACGATTAAGTAGAATTTACAAAGAAATTTAAAAGGAGCTGTCAAGAGCTCCAAGTTACCAACACATACAGAATAAAACTGAATAGCAGTTGTGGTCTCTTTATCTCAACAAAAAACAGGGAAAATACTGAAACTAGAAAAGGCTCAAGAAGGGTATTGAGACATCCAAAGACTAGAAAAGCTTTTGTAGGACAATGAGTATGAGGAAGGAGTATGACAGAGTCTGTAATCATGAGTGGCAGGAACATCATGGGCAGAGATGGACCACGGTTTTCCAAGGCAAGAATTAAAAGGCCAAATGTAGGCTGCAACGGCCTTGACAAAAAAAAAAAACAACAACAAAACCAAACAAATAAAAAAAACCCCAAAACAACAATAAGAAAAACACTATCAAAAGGAGCTGGTTCATGACACAAGGTGTTGCTGAGCCACGGAATCCCTGGGTGACTGAATTTTATAGCGCATCGAAGTAACACAAGAACAGTTCGCAGAAGAGAAACTGACTCAGAGAATTACTAAATATGTGGAGACCTAGCCTATTCCCACTCTTCTCAGAGAGCACGGAGGGACCGCCGGCAGGGCTCAGCACCGCCAGGACCCTCCGACACGTGAACGAAAGACGGGGCACAGGCGGCTTCTGGAGAAGGCCCATTTCTCCCGTCCCCTCCAGTGTGTATCCCTCTGAGGGCGCCCTGCAGCCACAATAAACCCCTGGGGGCTACAGGGTGACGCCGGCCCGCCCGCCCGCGCCTCGGCCGACACCGAACCCAGGGAGCGGAAGGGGCCGGCGGGCAGGAAGCTCCGCGATGTCCCGGCTCCGGCCTCCGCGCCCCTGGAGCGGGGAGCCCGCCCGCCCTCACGGCGAGCACGAGCGGACGGACAGGGGGACTGAGGGCCGCACCACCCCCGCCCCGCGCCCGCCTCCTCTCCCACTCACCACCCGCGGATCCCTCCGCGCGCGCGGAGATCGCCTGGCCGGCCCCGCCCCGAACGCCGCGCGTGGGGCGCGCGCGCCCCCTGCTGGGCGCTGCGGCGGGAGGGGGCGGGAGTGGGCGGGGATTCCCGATCCGACCGGGATCCCTCTCCGTGACCCGCGCACCGCTCCCGGCGGCACACGCACTCTGCCGTGGGGGTTGCTCGTGTCGCTGTGCCCTCGCCTGTCCCGCTGCACAGCGGTCGGCGGAGCGGCTCCCTCTCAGCTGAAGTACGAGCTGCGTGCTGCCGCCGGCGCTGGACGGGCTCCGGCGGCTGAGGAATTCCGCATCTGTGGAGGGACTTCGACAGATACTGAAGTCTGAGCTGGGCTGTGAGACAGTGAACGGCGCCTGTCATGTCAGAGTGGGAGATGACAGGTTATCTCGAGAGAGAGTGACAAGTGTTCAAAAAGCCACGAGCTTCGGACTTACACCGCAACCCAGTGCCTCAGAATGGTTTTCTACATCTGGCTCTCCTGCCCAGGCTTTCCATTTCCGTTAAGCATCGGCAGGTTGGAGCGACTTCGCCTTCTTGCATACTAACAGAAGTCGAGCTGATTCTTAGATACTTGCAAAGAATAGCAAGTTTTAAAATACTTTCCTTGTTTAATTTCATAGAATCTTAGAATGGCTTGGGTTGGAAGAGACTTTAAAAAGCATCTAGTTCAACCCCCTCTGCTATCGACAGGGACACTTCACTAGACCAGATTTCTCAGAGCTCCATCCAGCACAGCCTTGAACACTTCAAGAGATAGGGCATCCACAGCTTCTCTGGACAACCTGTTCCCGTGCCTCACCACCTTCACAGTAAAGAATTTCTTCAGAATATCTAATCTAAAGTTACCCTCTCCCAGTTTGAAGCCATTCCCCCTTTGTCCTGTCAGTGCATAACCTTGTAAAAAGTCTCTCTCCATTGTTCTTGTTGTCTGACACCTGCACAGTATTATTGAGTGCAGCAAGAAATGCAGTTTAGATACTACAGAGAAATGACACTTAAAAGTATTTCCTGTTTCATGTGTATTTGTAGCACATTTTATGTGAAAAGTGTTTTGTACAGGACTGAAAATGAAAAGATAAAGGAAACTGGGACGGCACATACTCTCAGTCCAGATTTCACAGAGCAACAGTCTACCCTGACAAGTGATTCCTCCTCACCCGAAGAGTTACAGAGATCATGTAAGGGCACATGGCTGAGGGGGGCTTGAGGGGTAGGCGGGGCAACACTATTTAAGTTTTGATACCAGACACTACTTGGCAGCAAACAGACATCTCAAGACCTTGCTTGAATCCTGTTACAAGGCAGTTCTAGAAGGAAAGCTTGGAAGGAGCTCGAGTGACCCTGTAGGAAACAAAAGAGGTTCTCTTGCAACGCATTTTCTTTGGGATGTGAAGACAAACCAACCACAAACATGGGAGCACCTGTTAAGTGCACCCTGCAATAACCTTCTTATTAGTAACTGGGTTTTATTTTTCCTAATCTTTTTTTGCAGGAAAATGTTTCTAGTTAAGCTATCGCCCCTATCCTTTCACTGACAAAGTCATGTCACACAGCAGTGACACCAGTGTCCTTAAGATGAACCTGATGACATACACCACTGCCTCTTCACTAATAAATTTGCTGTATCAGAAAGTTTTTAAAAACACAGCAAGAGCAACTTGTTACTTACAAGGCTTTTGTGTTTTGATGTTTATTTAGTTTTTCTCAAGTAATGAAATTCTATACGTTTCTTCCTCTTGCTATAGGCGCTAGCCATAGCCATATGAAAAAGTATAATTAGTTTTAATTAATATGAAAATAGATGATTAAATTCTAATTGTAGAACCTCTTCTGCTCCCATTAAGCCTAAAATAATTATTAGCTTTCCCCCCCCCAAAAAATCTCAACAGTTTTAGGGCTGGCAAGCCAATTGCACGTTGATTTGGAAGGCAGCCAAGCAGGCAATGCTTTACAACCATAAAAGGACTACTTCTAGTTAATGTCAACAGAACATGGATGATGGAAAATAACAGAAGTGGAAATATTCTACTTGCAGAACAACCTGCAACAGCTCACCTTTGTAAGCGAAGCTTGCTGTGCTTTGTCCTTCAACACTGAGCTGTTCTCCTACAAATGCAGAATGAAAGGTGCATTGGAGCCCCATGGGGTAGCTGTGCAGGCCAGGTGCATCACAGCTTCCTGAGACCTTGGGGCACACGGGAGGACAGACTGTTAGTCAGCCTCTTAAAAGCTTGCAGTCACTACATGAATTCAAGCACAGTAGTGAGTTTCCATCCTCAAACAGTTTACGGACTCGCAACTCTTTCTCTATGGGGATGCAAGTCTTAGAAACATGACAGTGATACATGATCCCTGTGACTTCTATTTTGCCTGGCTTTGTGGATCCCTTGGAAGTAATTCAGGGGTCACAAAGAGGGCTAAATCTTCAGATTGAAAAATGCTCTACTTAAGTCACTCTTTCGCATCTAGTACTGACATTTTAAATGGATTTTAGAAATGTTTAAAAGAACCCCCAAACCAACAACCCTGAAACAGAATTACCAGCATCTATACCTTTGTACATTTTTGTATCCCCATCGATTTTACCATTGCTCCTGATTTATGCAGTTGTCTCAAAAAATGTCCTGAGATATACAGTAACATACAACCTTTATGGAATTTTCTGGCCCCAAAGCCTTCTTATGGTCGTTTTTGATTTTTCCCCCAAAACATGTAATCACTCTGCCATCACAAGAAGCAGGAAGGAAAATATATAAAATATATTTAGCAAAACCAGTAAAATTAAAGTGGAACAGAAAATGCAGTCAAGTAGCAAACATGTACAGCAGCAGATTTTACAGTTTTTCCTGCACATACCTCTGCACTTATTTCATACACGCTTTTTAAGGAGAAGAAAGAAAATAGAAATCAGATAGTGTTGAGAAAGAAAACATTTTTTTTCCTGAACACTAAATGGGGTTTATTACTGCTTTTTGCTTTTGAAACTTCAATTCAGACTATATATATATCTAAGAAAAATAAGAGGACACCCTTTTCTCTGTCCCTAAAGCAAAATTACAGTCCTCATTTTACAGACTATACTGGTATCTTAAATAGTTACACTCACAGGATCTAGATATTATCTGGCCATCTAAAGGGATGCATTTACAAATGCAAACATTTTAATCAAGATACAAAACAGGTATCCAATTTTTCCAGCTTTCCTGAGGCTGAGCGAATTGTTTAAATACATGTGCGCTTATCAAAATCCATGGTACAGTACATTTTAACAGTAGTTTGTTAAGAAATCGTGAAAGTGCATAACAGCCTAAAAGCAGGCAAAAAGTACTTCAGAAGAACAGTCTTTCCTAAAAGTGGCAGAAGAATATAAGCCTTCCCCAAAGTAGTGTTGACCTTGTGTGAGGACATCAGTGATCTTCCTAAAGACTCCACAGTGTGGTGGTGGGGTTTGGGCCTCGGGTTTGTTTTTTTTTTTCTGAGTTACAACAATCATTTGAATGAACAAAAGACCATTACCAGTACCGGTGCAGTTCCAAAATTAAAGCAAATGTGCTGACAACTTGTTAAACCGAGTTATGAGTGAGGCTTTCACATCAATACTTGTGTTGGAGTCTAGCGATGACTTTCATTCAGTAAATGCCAAACACAGCAACTGGAAGCAGTTTGAATATGCCACAAATCTAAACTGCAGCATCCAAAACAATAAGTTAAAGCAAATCAAACATACATGTCTTTACAACCATGAACAGTAGGCCAGACACAGAAGGAAAGAAAAAGGGAAGTACATGACACTCACAGCTTCGCTCTACTCTCACTTGCAAAGGCACCAGCATGTCAGAAAAATCAAATGTGATACCATCTAATAGATGTTAAGGTGAAAACAGCTGTTCCATAAGATTCAAATACAGAAAAGAGAAAAACTAGTAATGAATTACGTATCAGTCACAGTCGGTAACTTCAGCGTTCTCTTTGGAGATGCAGATTTGTCTGGAACGTCTTCCAAAATAAAGAAGCATGTATTATTTAATTAACAAAACTTACACTGATAATACTGCATTTCATTTCACAAAATTCCAAAATAGCACTTTCTCTTTTCCCCAACCGTGTTGATGGAACGGCAGGCTTTTATTAATCCTATCAAGATGTTATGGGTTACAAAGTTACGGGATAACACTTGTATTATCAATTTCTTTTTCTTCTTGTAGAGTAGCTTGATTTGTTTTTCTTTCTCCAGATAACGTTGCAAAGTTTTTAATTTCTTCTCCTCCTCCCTCCCTCTTCCAGTTCACGTACGACCTCCTCCAGCTGACGGGCCAGACAAATTCCACTTGGAGGGTTGAGCTTTCCTACATTTCTGCTTGTAAGACATGGCAAATCACTGAAGGAAAAAACCCACCACAACTCCACCACTCACAACTGAAGCAAATTTAAGCTTCATAAAGGCAAAATTGATGGAGTTTTGTACACTTAGACAGACAAGTCTGAATGAAGGCTTTGTACCCAAATCATTCAAGTTTATTCCAGACCTTGTATTTAAGGTAAATCAGAATAGTTCCATTTTCTACATGAAAGGCTGCTTAGTTATGCTGCTGTTAGTCTTACCAGCTGCTTTAAGGAATTTCCTCAAAATTACCTTAAATGTTTCCATCCTTCACCAAAATGTTCACTAAACTAAACCATGCCAATATAAATATATAACTGCAGTAATTTTACTTCTGAAACCAGTAAAATTCTAGTGCTACATACAGCCAAGATATATAGCAAGCTGTCACCACCATACCTGTCGCATAGTTTTACTTTCAGGATTTGTGAAGCTTTTTTTTTTTTTTAAAGATGTGGGTGCATGGAAGTAAGAAGGGAGCAATAGAAAATAACTGTAGTTTATATAGCACATTAGGAACTGCTGCCTGTAACTGAACTTTTCTGATATCCATGAAGTAACATACTGTTGATGTCCTTTACATGGAAAACATTTCCGTGCCAGATATCATCAGAAACAGTTTAGATGAAATACACACACAAAATTAAAGACCCAGAAATAATTTCTTCTGGGTAGACAAATACCACCAATAATAGCGACCTGAAAGGTCACTGTTGAAATTTTTTTTTGGAAGATGGGGGAAGATTAATTTGATTATATATTTATTCATGGCCATTTCTGGTAATTGCAGTCCAGTGTGAGATACTCCTGTTGCACCCCTAATCACACATTTCTGTTGATGGACAAACTCATGCCTTAAGTGCCAATGCAGATTAAAGTTACCCCATCAACTTTTAACCTAATTACTGTGCATTCACTGTAGTCAAAGAGCAAAATGTGTAGCCCAAGGTTTCATAATGTTCCTATTTTTGTTTCTACCATAAGGAGTTATAACAACTTCTATTTCAGGGATTCAACACAGATGAGATTTTAGAAAAATATTAAACAAGAATACACACAAATCACACATGGCCAAAACAAAATAATAAAAGTCTTTAGTGGAAAACAATTTGATCCTTCTCCTGCTTATGGATCTTAAAAATACACAAAGTGATCATTTCAAAATTGAAAAATCAGTTGTGATAAGGCTTGATTACACAGCCATTTCCCAAGTCTTATTGCAATAAATTGTGAAATACTTCTATGCAACTTCATATCTTCAACTGTACAGGTAAAACAATACTTGAAATCAACTAGCACTTCAATCCCTGTGTTTTTAATATATAAACTCAACACAGTACTGAATGATACATTCAAAATATTTACACACTTGACCAACAGCAGTACTAGCATTTATTGCCTTAAAACTGCATGTTCACTGCATGGAGGTTCCTTATTTTGCACAAAGGGAACAAATAAAAGAGGATAATATTTTTTTTTCATAATTACAAATTCTAGAATGGTTCAATGGGAGATTGAAACATGCTGGGCAATGCTACTAGAAAGGTTTTTATCAATTTCAAGTATCAAGCTGTAACAGATTGGAAAATCATATGGGTAGTATCTTTCTATTGAGGTTGGAGTGGTCATCCGAATCCATTTCAGAATGGCTCAAAAGGACAGGAAAAGCAGGATAGGGAAAGGGAAGGAATGAAAAAACAGAATCAATTTCAATCCACTGAGGAAAAGGGAAAGCCAGGGACATCTCAGTTGCTAGGGCCCCAAGAAATCTCATATTGAAAAAAGTGTTTTATAAGAGAGCTGAGAGCTTAAGGCCCTAGAGTAAAACACACTTCATGATTTGCTTCATGATCAGTGCCAGAAAGCATTAATCTAATTTGCTGTAAAAAGGGCACAATCTACTCATATTAAATGCAAATTTACGGGGTGGGAGGAGGGGGGGGGACAGAGATGGTTCCTTAAATTTAGTTGTTATCATTAGGCTTTGGTTATACTGAGAGACTGGAACAGACATGGTAGAAATGAATGGTGTTTGTTCCTTGCAGAAAAGTATAAAAAAACCAAGACCAAACCAAACAAAAAACCCTGCCACAAGCAGCGCTTGTCACAAGTAGAGGCACCAAAGCCTGAATAAATCAACAACTGTCCTCTCCCTGTGTAGACCAGAACTGAGGCACACTGGTGGGGAATCTCACCTTACTGAAGAAGAAGCCACTATTTCAATCAGCTGTAATAGAAATAATGACAATTTACATCAAGCATTCCTGTACTGCAGTAGATCAGTCCTGGGGAATACTGCACCACTGCTGCCTCTCCTGGGCTTTATCATTATGAAAATCTGTTCTCATTACAGTAAATCTTACACCTCACAAACTAAAGTATATAATATTTACATAGCATCTCAGATCCTCAAAGGATTTTATAGGCATAGACTTATCCTCACAACATCCCTGTGAGGTAGGCAGATGTTAATGCTATTTCAACAACACAGTTCTAGCTACTTGCCAATGGCCACAGAGGATCCAGCGGAAAAACTTATTAGAAAATTAGAGGAGCCTGGCTCCTACTCCTGCGCTTATATTCATCAAGCTACTTCCATTAAAAAAAACCCAACAAACACTCCTTCTTATGTAATTACTTAACCAAAACTGAAGTTACTTGAAGTGTTTTACAAGAGAAATGCTGCAATTCGTACTTTTAATAGTTTTACAGACCACAAATTAGAATTTGCTTTCCCTTTTAAAGAATTTTATATTTTAAATGGACAACTGACTGCTCTGAGCAAGCTTATTTTCTAGAACTACATGGCCTAGACATAAAGGGATTTGCCCAGATAAACACTGGGGCTTTAGTGAGCACTATGCATTATGAAAGAGATGACTCCAGTTCAAACCCCCCTCTTTCAACCAGTAGGATTTGGACATGCTGAGAAAGCAAGTTTCTTGTTCCTGAGAAAAAGGTGAGCTCTTTACCACTAAACAGTGAAACACAAACCTCTGGGCAAAAAGTAGCAGATTCTGGCAGTGATTCAATGAAGCTAATTAAGGCATAAATGCATGTGAAAGTGGAGTTTTCATGTGGAAGTAGCAGTCCACTTCTGCCTGTCCATATGCATCTGTGCTTTCTAGGTCTTGAATTTTATGATTGAACTCGATGGTCATGCTTGTCAACATCGAAAGTGCTATGCTGAACAACAGAAAATTATTAGCCAGCACTAGAACTATTACAATGGGAAGGAGATAGAAAAATGGGAAAGCTACTTGATTTTTAGCTCTCAGAATGAAAACACTGGATCAATAATCTGTTTTAGCAAGAGAAGTCCAGACAAATATATTAGTTACAACTATATCATGCAGCATTTATAATTCAGTTTGAGTTGCCTTTTTTTCCTTCAAGAAACAGGTGCATTTTTAGAACCATTATTCACTTTGCACAGTGAATGGAAAAATCAATGCAGTGATGCTGTAAAACTTTTAGAACACTTTATGGAGCCAGCTCTCAGTGTTCATTAAAAATGGTCTATGAGTCTTTCCTGTGGACCTCAGTGAACTTCCACATCCCGATTTATAGCAACTGGATGTGTAGAAGATCACTGAAGGACTTCTTTTTTTTATCTTTTTCTTTTAGTAGGGATATAGAAGCCAAATAGTTCAGACAGAAGCAGCCACCAAGCCAGCAGGAATATGAATGAATAAAACTTATTCCCAATTTCACTGATGTCACTGAGCAGAGACATCTTAGAATGTGCTCTAAAAGAAACACAAAATGGCATGGAAAGATCCCTGCTGAATATATGAGAATGTAAGAAAAATTAAGAAACAGGGAAGTATAACATTTAAGCAGGAAAATTACAAAAACACCCCAAACTCTTACTAGGACAGCTTCCCTTTAACATAAAATATTGTTTTTAAATGAAGGGAAAAGGAAATTCTTAAATAACCTTCAAAACTAGTCTTTGAAAAGTAGGTATTCATACTTAAGCAAGACCTGATACTCAGAAGATGCTATGTGTCTCTGATTGTTACAACACAATGGGCCTGATTAGAACAATAATGGGTATGCACATTACTTTGTCCTGAATATGAACTCAATTTGTGCTCCAATTCTTCAATTACAATATGCAAGAGGATTTCAAAATTTTTAAGTTAATAAATATTTTTAAATAGCGAGTCAGCTTTAAGATTTATGAAACAATAGTGACAGAGTTAGGTATAAAAGAAATTAGCGAAATCGGTTATTCAGTCAGATCCAAACTAATTGAAAGTATTTGCTATGATGTCTTTGAAGACTTTGGTCAAGGTATTTGACATTGAGCACATCATAACAAACTAGCAGCTCCTACTGCTGCTTATGTTCCCAGGCTTCAGTGCCCTTCATCTGGAAAAAATGAGGTTTCAGAACCACTGCCCCATCCAATGTACAAACTCAGAAAAACTCCAGAAGCAGTTTCAAAAACCATAGCAAATCCCAGACAACTAAAAAAAAAAAATCAGCCAGCACAACAGTTTGAAACAGAAGGATCTGCCTAGATCATTATCTTTTGTGCAAGCACACAGTTGAGAAATCCTTTAAAAAAATGCATTAGAGTTTCAAGAAAAAATTGAGAGCAATACTCCTGTTCTAAAATACTATGCAAATATCTTAGAAATAAAATACTTGCTGTGAAGGTACATTATTATCTAACAAGTTTTATGGTCACTTTGTAATGTGTAAATCTGCCCTTGCTTAGTTTTCACATCAATTAAAAGAGAAAAGTATAATAAAGAGATGGCATTTTTGGCCTTGTGGATCCATGCTTGAGACACATATGAATTTAACTTAAGGAAAAAAAAAAAAGCCTTAGAGCCTTAGATCACTTATAGCACAGTATTAGAGATTTGTGTCTTTTAAAAATTCTGGCTATTGTGACTAATTTTGAGATGAATAGCTGAAGAATGCCACAGAATTGCAAACATGAAGTTACACATTGCCATATAAAGATGTATACCGTACATTTTATATAAATTTAAAAAACACATAGGAAATATTCAACAGCATAATCTAGCAGAGATCTTAAACAGAAGGGCCCACTTCTTCCTCCATGTATTTCCACAAAAATAATTTTACTAGACATGCAGCATTTGTGTTTGCTTCAGTTTTCTCTGGCTCATGACAGGAGAAAAGCAGGCCTTGCTTTCATACTCATGTGCAGCTCTGCCTTGTTGGTTCCCTATAATCAGGGCACTATATTCTGCTATTCTAATAGCTAAAGTGCTGATACAAAAAACCAAGCAAGAGCAGAGCAGCTGGGAGGGCTCTGTAGAAGTGGAGCTAGATTCAGCAAAACTAAAAATCTCCCACACCAGTAGACATCCCCAATTACCTTTCCCTGCTGGAGTCAAACAAACACAAACCTTGAGTAAAAGGGTCTGATGCCCCTGTGCTAGCATAATTGTTTTAGCTAATGCCCCAACTTTACGAAGTTTGCCGGTAATTCACACCTTTTGGGTTGTTATTGCTTAAGCAAACAGTTCAGTGTAGAAATACATTGCAGTGTCGTGCAACCCCTTAAGAATCAAAACAGATACTGAAAGTAAAATTACACACGAACCTTGCATTAGACACTCATTCCAAAATGACACATCATCATGAAAGGCTGCAACACGTACACAGCAGCTCAGTGCCAACATCCCAAACCAACTCTGAAGAGTCAAATCTTGCCTTAAATCTTGCCTTATATTTCTTACCTAAAGTATATGAGTTTTTTTCATCTTTTAAATTAAGGCAATGAAATGGCTACAGTTCCTAAAGTTCATTTTAGGGGAACAAAAATATACACCTTTTTTTCTTTGAACTTTAGGCAGCAGAACATAATGTAAAAACATGCATTGCATTAAACATGCAATGTTGGGTTGATGTAGAAAAACAGAACTGAACACAAGTTAAAATGCCATTTGGTTTTTCTTCCCCATTGGAACACAAACTCAAAGAGAAGAAAAATAAAGCTTAAAATCAGCTAAACTGTTTAGAGCTTTACATGTATCTACATCACACTCTAACATGATTTTGGGTAGAAAAGAAATCTGTATGTTTATATGACCACTCATATTTTAAACCAGTGCAGGGGGAAAGGCACTGCATTTATTTTTCCTTGTGCCCATATCTGTTTGCACATATATGGAAAAAAATTAAATTCAAATTTTCTGTTCATTCTCTCCCACACATAAGTATGACAGATTGCAGCTAACACATAATAGCAGAAGCTGATTCAAAGTTGACCTCTCCTATTCCACTGTGTTATGTTCAAACTTCCAGGCTCTCTAGAATCTGAGATGGCTGCAAAGAACCCAGAGACAGGTACAAGATTTAGTCAGCATTCAGCATTTCTCAGTGCATTTCGCAGAAAGGGTCTAAGTTAGGCATAGAGTTTTGTTGTTTATTTTACACAGAGAAGTCCACCAACATTTGCCATAAATTCTTCTAAACTCTTTAAGAAGGCCATCTTCTGCTTACGGTCCAGTGTAGGAGGAGTGCTGCTTGCAGTAAGTTTGTTGAAGGCATCTGCTAACCGCTGGTAAATTACTGGATCTTGCTGAGTTGATAGCAATGTTTCAACTAGCTCTGAATATTCAGCCTGTTAAATAAACATAAAAAGAAAGATATAGTATATACAACTTCTCTCATCAGGACAAGATCCAGAATAAAAGTTGTGACAGAAAACTATCAATACTTCTCCACCTGTTAGCCAGTTTCACTGACTACTGTACCATCAGCAACTATGGACCCCACAGCCTTTCACCTACCTCCAAACCAGATAAAGTCCTTCATCCAGGCTGGGTATCTTTGCAAGGCTAAAGAAGTCTTCAAAGCTAGGTACAGTGCTTTGCAGTGCAGAGTAAGATGACAATTTCAGGCACACACTCAAAGGGCCTTCTGGCTCTTTCTTAGCATAGGCTTATTCCTGCAAACTGGACTGCTCTTTTTTCATGCCTGTCTTGTGTTTGGTGTGCCATACCAACCATCTCCTCCCACAGGTTCTCCATTTTCTAGGGTCCCCTCTCTGGGATAGAGAGGTTAGATTCCTTTTTAAGAGCTTCCTACTTACTGTCATGCTTACTTGGACAGAAATAGATGACAAAGAAACATGTCAAACATGACTAGAAGGACACTGCCAAGGGGCACACAAAACCAGAGCGATTCCAAAGTGACTGAGATCTGGGAGCATGGGTGAAGGACACAGGAGCCAGAAGGGCATTCCTTTCAATTCTGCCAGTGAGGGGTTGGGTGGAGGTAGACACAACATGAATTTGCCACCTGTGGGTGATATCATAGGATCTTTTTGTCTTACATGATCATGAGTCCCTCTTTGAGGGATAAGGTTGCTAGCAAGAGAGAGGATCTCTAGGACAAAGCGGCTTAGGAACATCTTTGCCAAAGGCTTGCCAACCTGGCAGGAAGGGCTTTAAAGGGGGGATGTGGGAGGATGTTGGGGGATGGTGGTAACAGCTTGCAGACAAGTGAGAAGACAGAGACTAAGAGTATTAAGAACACAAAGAAGTGTGATGGGTTTAATGGTGCTCATTGGGAAGTATTAAACATGATAAAAGGAGGCCAGTCTCAAATGTCTGTGTAGCAATACATTCAGCTTTGGAAACAGACTGAGCTAGAGCTCCAAGTGCAGGTACAGAGCTGCAACATCACTGCAGGCACTGAGATGTGGTGGGACAGGTGGCATGACTGGAGTGTTCGAAGGGACAGACGGAGGCTCTTTACAGAAGACGACAACAGAAGCTTGCCACTTCTGTGAAAGGACAGCTCAAATTAAGGATGCTCTTCTACAGACAGGGCAACAATCTAGTTGAGTGCTTATGGATGATGATCAGAGGAGAGGTGACAAAGATGACATCATGGTGGGATCTTGCTACAAATCCCCAGTGGCTTTTAGTGGACTGAGTCATCTTCAAGCAACTTGAGGAAGTTTCCAGATCAGACTTAAAAGAGATTATCTCTCTGACATTTGCTCAAATACCAGATGGGTTACCAGCCAAGTACAGAATCTGGACATCATGAGAGCAGATTTCACTTTATTCAAGAGACTGGTGGGTGGTATCCTGTGGGAGTGAGCTCTGGAAACAAAAAGCTCAGGAGAGCTGACAGGTTTTAAGGACAACCTCTTCCAAGCACAAGAATGGCCTGTCCAGATACTGAAGAAAGCAATATAAACATGTAAGGACACCGACTCAGCTAAGCAGGGAATTCATGACTGAACTGCAGTGCAAGGACAATACATGCAGGAAATAGAAGCAGGGACAACTACAAAGGAGGAAAGTAGAAACATTGGATAGGAACAATGACAGAAAAATGAAGTTAATCTAAAGGTGAATTTAGCAAGGGACATCAAAGACAACAAAAGCAGCTTTTACCAGTACTTTAACAGTAAAAGAAGGAATACAGAAAATATGGGTTCTGCTGCTGAATGGGAACAGCTGGTTTAATGATAGTAGACAAAAGGTAAGGATGAACGAATCAATGCTTTATTTGCCTTGGTCTTCACTGACAGGTTTTTCCAGACCTTTGTGACTAGAGACAGGGTTCAAGGAGGAGAGGAACTATCCATAGTAAAGAGGATCAACCCAGTAATCTCTTGAGAAATCTTGATGCATACAAGATCATGAGACCTGAGAGAATCTATCCAAGGGTTCAGAAAGCTTGCTCACATCATTACAAGGCTGCTCTCTATCATCTTAGAATGACTGAGAAAATTATGAAGTACTCCTGGAAGCTATCTCTGGGCATGTGAAAGAGAAAAGGATTGAGAACAGCCAATGTGGATTTACCAGTGATAAATCATGTTTTACCAAAGTGTCTTCTGTGACAAAATGACTACATCTGTGGATAAGCAAAGAGCAGTGGATGCCTGATGTTAGCAACTCTTTAGCAGTCACACACAACATCCTTGTAACTAAGATGGGATTTTCTTGTCTAAATGGGTGGGCTACTACATGGGTGAAAACACACTTCTATCATCAGCCTATAAAGGCTTGAGGTTAATGGCTCATATTCCACTTGAAAGATGGTTACAAGTAGCACTCAGAGCTCTCATCTGGACTTTGTGCCTTTAAGTGTTTTAGTCAGTGACCTGGATGAGGAGAGGAAATTCACTCTCCTCAAATCTGAGATGAAATCAAACTGGGGAATGCAGCCAGTACGTTCAAGGGCAGGACTGACATTCAGTGCCACCTACTCAGGCTGGAGGAATGAGCTGACGGGAAACTCACAAAACTCAACAAGGACACATGCAAAGTCCTGCAGCTGAAACAGACTAACCGCCTGCAACAATACGGCCGGGAACTGACAGGCTGGGGAGCAGTTCTGCTGAAAGAAGGGCCTGAAGGCCCTGGGGACAGCAGGCTAAGCAAGTCAGCTGTGTGTCCTGTCAGCAGTGAACACTAACTGCATAATGGACTGTATTTACTGTTTGTCTTTACACTGCACTTGTTAGATTAGATGTGGAATACTGTGTCTAGTTTCGGGCTCCTTAAGGATATCGATGAACTTAAATGAATCCAGTGGTGGGTCAACAAGTCTGTATGGCAGGTGCTAAAAGCATATTATATGGATAATCAAGCACTTGATTAACGGGCCACTTAAAAAGGCTTTGAAATATCCATCTTGGAGGTTTTCAAAACACAGCTGGAGAAAGTCCTGAGCAACTTGATCTGAATTAAACGTTGACTCCACTTTGAGTAAGAAGTTGGACTACAGACCTGAGGGTTCCCCCTTCCAACCCAACTGATTCTATGATTTACCAGGCACACAGTAATTAACTACTCTCCTTTAACAAATTACTTCTTTTCAGGGTGTGTCTAAATGCCATACCTGATGCAAACACACTAATGTGTAGAATGCTTCACCTGCTGCAGTTGTCATTTCTGTATTGTGCTTCTGAAGTACCAGCATATCAAAAACCATCTGAAATCACAAAACAGAAGTAGTTGCAGAAGTGTAAACTTAACTTTCTACTTTATCAACATATGCTGCTGAAAGTCATCTTCACTTCTGGTAATAATAATGAACATGTACTTACAAGCATCCAAGGTTGCTGTTTGCTTTGTTGCCCCCTCCCCTTTTTTTTTTTTTTTTTAAATTGAGGTACCAGTAATTTGGAAGCCAAGTTCTTTTAGAAGTTAAGTCTTGGCTTAACACCTTACATTCATATCTTAAAGCACTGAAACCTTTTGTTGATTTATATCAACTGCTCTTCAGAGAGAAATGGCACCTCTTGTATTTTTCTCCAAAAGCTGCAGATATGCCAGAGAAATAATGAAAAAAGCCATTGCTCTTCCAGAATAAAACATGGAACTTTTTCCTCAAGTTTTGGAGACTCACAGAAAGTCAAAGAGGGGACAGATTAATAAAAGCAGTATTATAATTTTAAGTGGAAATTGAGAAATAAGGCACGAAGCTATGTTAACTTAGAAGATACATAAAGACAAAATTATTCAAGAGTGCTCACATGTGGAGCATTGGTAAATATAAACTGCACTCTGAGAAGCTCAGGTCTTTTGTTTATTGGCATTAAGGGATTGCTTCCCTTTACGCCTCCATCCTCCTTTGTACTCTAGTCCAATATCTTCAGTTCTTCATGCCCTCTTTCTTATTAAATTGCCTTTTTTTTTTTTAGGTAATAGGCTGTTTCTTACTATATGTGTGATCCTGATTAATCTGGATTTCATCACTGTCTGGCCTCTGGATTCAAAAAACCAAAGTAACAGGAAACACAGATGCCTTACCTTAAGAAAGTGCCTTGTTGCTAGAAAAAGAGTTGAATCTGTTTCTTGTGCTTTTGCACACTGTTCTGCTAATGGTGTTACAGCCTCCAGACAGAGCTGGCAAACCTCTGAGCTCATTCTGATAATGGGCATTAAAGAATCAAAGTCAGATTTCAATTAGATTGTGAAAAAATTACCCAGGTGTGACAGAAATGGAAAACATTTTAAATGCTTGTATGTTCCAAGGTTTTTTTTCACTATAAAGCTGTTGATAAAAAAAAATTAAATAAAAAGAAACACAAACAAACAAACAACTAGAAAAAGAGGGGGAAGAAGAATTCAACTTCATTGCCTTCTTTTATTAGCTACAGGCCCTAAGGTAACATAACCCTCTCTGACATAACATTTTCAGAAAGAGTCCCTTATGGTCAAGCTCATCTGTTTCTGACACGTGCCACAGATTAGAGAAAATGGTACTCTCATTATGAGAGGGAGAGCCCATTGGCACCCTGACAGGAAATGCTCTGGAGCCAGCCCAGTAGAACAGCAGCAATGTTTTACATTACCAGCTGAGAAACTAATTCAGGAATGGCTTGGGGATACCAGCTGAAGGCTTATGAAGTTACACACTATGAAATGAAGTAATGGAGCAGGCAGGAATGGTTGCCAGAAAAAACTTACATGCTAAACTACTTAAAGGCTGCCCCCAAGCACAAGTCAGAGGCAATTCAGCTAATACGAGAATCTCTAATAGACACTACAGTGAAATTGTCAATCCCCAGAGAGCAGAGTAAGAGTCAGTTATCAATATACAATTATAGATACAGATACTGATAGAAAAGGAAAAAAAAAAGATAAAAAATGAGATTTTTTTAACATGTTCTTATAGTTGCTTATAGCAACTTAGATTTTTTAAAACACTCCCAAATTCTATAAAGGATACGATGACATCCCTAACTCCAGCGAGTACATTAGGCTCTTAAAGAGGTCTTCTGGAAGTTGTGGAATTTTCTCAGGGAATATTTCACAGATGAAAGTGATTAATTTGTAATATTGATTACACAGGGATGGAAACTGTCAAAAGAAAAACATGGTATTTTTAGATTTAATCATATAATTATTCTGGCATAGTGTTCAACTGTACAAAGAGACAGGACTGATGCTCTGCACTGAAGAAGAAAAGACAATTTTAGGAAGCAACTTCAGTCATTAGAATGGCTACAACTTTATTAGCAAACACTGCGGTACAATAAAAAAAGATTGTTAAAGCTAAACAGTTGATGGTGAGAGTCTGGTATCTGCTCTACACAAATTCTAAGAGTTTTACTTCAGACATTAACAAATGTAGTCCTGTGGGGTAAAACCCTTGTGAGCATTTGGAGCACAATAGAGGGGCTTCCAGGGTACATTCTTTGACTTGTTTCATCTAAAATGGACACAGCCCTCTCACTCAGCAAGTGTACTGGATGAGAAGGCATGTAAGGAGGGGACAACTGAGATGCGCAGAAGCCTTCCCCTGATTCAAAGTAAAATATTAACACAGTGCAACCCAATGAAATGCTGTCGTCCCATTGTTTACTGTTCTACTGACAAGTTGCTGATGTTGACAATATGAAAGCCATTTGTATTGTAAAAATAAAGAGTTACTTTTAACTAATATCATTGTTTATGCTTCCCAACACATTTCTGACACTATCAGAAAAAGGATTCCGTGAGCCACATCTCAGATTTGGCTGTGGATCTGCTCACTCGCTTTTAGAAGAAAAAAGTTTTGTTTAGAACCTTCAAATATACATCTTCTCAGCTTATAACATTTTCAAACAATATCTAGAAGTATGGAACAGTTATTTACATTTATAAAGCCTAGAAAACTCAACTTATGGAGATAGAATGCATATAGGAATGAATTCTGGGAACTCATTACTATAAAGCTTTCATATTCTAGCAGCTCTGTGTAAAAACATACTTACCTTCAGCAGATCTTGGGACATTAGAGGCAGAACTAGATTAACCCCATATAAGACAACATCTGCTGCTGATACAGATCTATTTGTAGCTTGCCCAGGCTCATGTCCTCTAAATACTTCGTCTACAGAAAAGACAAAAACTATTTTGTGTAAAAGGAGGATTAAACATATTGAAGGAAGAGTCCTATTTCTTTATAGTAAAGACATTTTTAAAAATAGGACTATTCCCTTCTCTCTGAACAAAAACATGAGGCACTGTACTAAAATAGAAACTTAGTGAGTGGAGGCTGTCACATCACTCTATATTTATTCACTAGGACTAAGCATTTCATAATCACTTGTACCAGATGGCATGCTAAACTAGAACGCTTCAGATACTCTGAGGGCTCCCTCCCATTACAGAACATTGCATTTGTTTCTAGTGATAGCTGCTTCGTGCCTTCACACAGACAGTTAATACAAATTATTAATTTGTATTACTGCATTTTTATACAATATATGTGTGTGTATATATATTATATTTACATATGTTTTAATATCTTTTATAAACAGAAGGAGAAAAAGAATAGGAGTTAATACAGAAAATTCTGTAGTTTGGATGTTGCCAAGTTTTCTCCAGTTACAGGCAAGACCTACATTTCCCATCAGCTGGCAGTGACCTTCCTGCATTGAGTCAGCAGCAGTATGCAGACAACTTGCAAAACATTTGATCTCTGGGTATTACATTTAGGTTTTATTCACATTACTTAGTTTTGTGGTAAGTATTTTACAGTGTTTTCCACACAGTTAACATCCAGATCTCAAAGAGAATACGTTACATTGCACTGGGTTGTCCATTCAACAGACAAAGTCTAAATCTGGTTCTGTATTTGTGTTGTGCATGCAGGGTGAAAAAATAGAACGAAATAGCACTGAATTTTGGAGCACAAGGTTCTCTCTTTTAAGATGTACCTCAGAAAAGCAATTAACAACATCAAAACATGCCTGGTATCAAACTGAATCTGCCTATGTTCTTTTCTGTACAAGATGTATAGGACATGGTGAGATCTGAACTATGCAAATGTGGTTTCACTTATTCAGAAGCAATGCACAACAGCTAAGTTAGAACTGGCAGATGATATTCAGGAGAACTGCAATTTTAAGTGGCAAATACACGTAAAAAAGTAACAGGTTGCGATACAAAAAGGCACCCTTAATTACACCCACAAACCATAAAACACCTTCTGTGAAAGAGGAAACAGAAGACCCTCAAACATGATGGAATTTTAATGATCTCAACAGTTCACAAAAGTTGAATCCTATACTAAGAAGACAATCCACCTGCCCTCTTGCACAAATTTACTACTCCAACTTTGCTATGGGCTTTTAGTTATAAAACTGCTGCTACTACATGTTCAGACTTGCAACATTCAAATTTCAAGCTGTTTCATATATGCCCTATTTATTTTATGAGAGCAATAACATTTTCAGATGCCAGAATACCAGGGAAAGTCCTTCCTTTGCTACTGGCACATTAAATAGTAATTTCCATATCCTGATCTAGTCAAGCCTAAACTTCAGTTTTCACTTTACGTGGATTGAACACATTTCCCACAATGGTTCTTTCAGTTTAGAACACAAGTTGTGGTTTAGTAATTACCAGTTCCTTAATACCTGTATCACTGAAATCTATGAATTCTTTTGATAGAAGATTAGTGAGAAGCTCCATAATAAGAAGGAGATCCTGGTACTGGTCTTCTTCTGCTGTAACATCTATCCGTTGTCGACCTAAATTATTCTTAGAATACACCTGGAGCAGAGTTAGGCAGGCCTCATACAAGTTCATGGCTTTGGCCTATAAAACAATGTTACATAGTAAGAAAACTTCCATATGCTAAAAGTGACACACTTTGTTTTAAGATGGTATTACTTGGCAGACAATTCTTCAAGATTTTAATTTCCATATATGACCACTTTTTGTAACAATTGCACACAAAATCATCAAGGAAGCAGCCACCTTAAACAGTCAGAACACTACTGATTGAAACAGCAGAACATTACTTTTATCGATTTCTCAATCTTAACAAAAAAACCAGATGAGTGGCTTAGGACAGGCTGACACATCTCACCACTCTCACAAACTAGATTACCAACAAAATCCCTTGGGGACACACTTCAGCTACAGAAGTTTTGAGCCACACTACACTGTGCATATCCAGTTTGGAATAGGTTGGAACTCTTCTAGATGTAATAGCAAAATTAGCCAATGGTGCAAAGATGTAAGCGTACTGCACTGACTCAAAATTTATTTTAACTGTTAACTTCTTGGTATTACTGTTAATGCTTTGTCTAGGACCAAAGCACTGTCTCTTTGATATACATTTGTCACAGTGCTGCAATTCTCCTAGACCAGACTTTCGAAAAGTTTGATACAGTTAGAAGAAAGTACTCAACACTGTCCTCTTCTGCCACCTATGCATAGAGTTACACTAGTGATAAATTGTGCTTAAATTTATTGGTATACGAACAGTCTAAATATACTACTTTTAATCTTTGCAAGCATATGTTTTAAAACAAAGGAATTCCTTAACAGATGTGAACACATATTCTTTCTTCCTCTATACAAAATTCACCACACCTTATTTTGTTTAAGGAATAGCACTGTATGCACACACACGCAAGCACTCTTCTCCCTCCTTCCCCTTCTGGTTGTATTTACCTCTCCAAGATAGCAAATTTGTTTATGTGCAACTTCAACAAAGACTTCTATTATGAGATTAACAGTCTCTGGTGTGTTTTTGTATACTTCCATTAATCCAATGCAATTATTAAGGAAGTCCATTAGGAAATTGAAGAGAATTGCTACGTTATCAATCTGGGTAGCCTCAGCAATGCCACAGAGTGCTTCTAATGTAGCAGTGATTTCCTGTTTCACTTCTTCCTCCTGACAGATCTGCTGAAAGTTTTCTTGGTTTATCACATTCAAGAATCGCTGCTGAAGTGGCTGAAGAACCTTGAAATTTTTTAGAAAAGGAGCATTAAGATATGCATACTACCATATGAGATGTAAGGTTCAAGTAATTTGGCAAGCTCATGGGTTGCTTTTGGCATGGCAGTACAAGACTCAATCACTTCCAGTTTCCAATGGCTCAGTCATGTTATTGTCTGCCACATTAACATAAGCTGAAGTGCTACTGATTAGTGCTTCTCATTATCCATCATTACTTGCCCACAGGTTCCAAAATGGCACCCCCATAAGTATTTTAGGTTATTTTGTAGTGTTTAAACCAATGGCAATGACCTTCTCTGGCTCACACTATTTGGTTCTCTTCCAAATGCAGTATTAGGGGGAAAAATTGCTAACAATGAAAGCATTAGGATTAACGTTCACAGTTATTGTTGCCATATTATGATTCTAAATAGCGCAATCACTTTTGTCATCAGCTGTGTTTAGAAACAATTTAAAAACTTCCATAAAAATAATTGTTTTTTCCAATTACTCCCAGTGCACTATAGTCGTACCTTAAATCACTAATTTCATATCTCTGCTAATAAAGGCCAGGTTTTCTCAGAAGGTCAATGCTTTACAAACTCCTCTGGTGCTTCCTGATCACATTTCAGCTACTTTCTTGCACCAACCTTTCTGGTAGTAAATATCAGAGCTTTAATGGAGCCAGGGCACAAAGAGCTGGTCAAGGTTCTTCGTTATGTTCCACGTTAGCTTTTTACTTACTGTCGTTATCATTAAGTGAATAACTAAATAATTCATAACACCAACAAATTAAAATAGAAGAAGAAATGGTACAGTTCAAGGAAAATTATTGTATCTTTTATAATAATCTCATTTAAGCATATTGTTATCCCGTTTGCTTCGCAAAGCTTCAAGTTAATTATTAGAGGTTTCTGTTTAGGTGGAGATGTTTTAGATACAATTTAGATACAAGACATATGACTATTGACCTTCAAAAAGAAAATAAGTTTTAAAATTAGTGAGACATTAAAAATAAAAATATGCTGTATCAGTTGACTTTGTGCCACCATAAAATTCCCTAAACTAACTTGTTGTACTGCTTGCTAAGATGGAGGTAATAAAAACATCAAAACAGCTTACCTCTGTCCAGTATTGTTGCTTTGTTTCTGTATCCATATGAGCAAAACCTCCTAAAACTAAAGCTTTCATTAGTGTTCTCTGCACAGAACTGGACAAATAGTGAAGAGGAGGGCTTCGCCTTGCAAACTGTTTAGCTAAATTCCACCAGTTTTCACACTGAATGACTAAGTTTGCCCTAAAAGAGGGAAAAACAATTTAAATAAGGATTTCACAAAATTATATGAATAGAGCACATCGGGTTGCTAGCAGTTGTCAGAAGTTTGTTAGGTTTTTTGAAAAAAATTCCTTTATTCTAAGGCTAAATTGCCTTTTGATTTTCATCTTACTAATGCCGCAGCTCTAAGATTTCTAAAGCATATACTCTGAAAACAGATCAATTCATATGGGAGAAAAGCAGGGAAGTGCTTTAGTTTTATGCACATATACACACACAGAGTTAATGGACATATTGCATGGATTAAAAGCTTAGTCTCATTATGTCATGATAAAATAAGCAGTTTATTCCAAAACTGGCTCCTGTGGGTTTTAAATTTTTTTTAAAAGAAAATTCCTCAAGTATTTAAAATCCTTAAGCTTCAGAACAGTCTTTCATCAGACTGTGAATGTATGATTGCATGTAATTTCAGAGAATTAAAACATTCATGAATTTCCTGCTTCACAGTATGCAATACCAAAAAAAACTTTCTGTAATTTGTCTGAATCCACAAAATCCTGGATTTAAAAAAAAAATTTATATGTTTAAAAAAACCACATTTTATACCGGCTTAGCCAATATCTGAACTCTTAATCAACAAAAATTAACAACACAAAAATCCTTGCAATAAGAGGGGAGACCAGGACAATTTTCCTTTCTCACTTTAAGAGTGAGGCACAAAGGTAAGGTAAGGAAAGTACATGTCTAAACAATAATAAAAATTTGGTGATGTTTTGTCAAATATAGGTCTCACTCCTCACTTTGTTAGACAAGTTTGTTGGGGTTTTTCCTCAGTTATAGTATGTTACTAAAGTAATTTGACTTACAGAAACATAAATATGAAGTGTCCTGTATCTGGATTACTTTGGCCAAAAAACTTTAAAGGAAGCAAAAGAAATTTTTTGACTTCCAGAGGTATAGCAACTTACCGCTCTCTCCTTTCCACTAATGTTACTAGCAGTTGTACAGTATCATTTGCAAGGTCCTGCTCTGAACTCCACACTGCCAGGTTACTGATCACTTTTTCTAAAAGGTAACCCACAATCCACTGGGAACCCTCTGTATCAGCACCAAATGCTGTACTAAATGGCAGACTTATCTATAAGAAAAGCATTAAAATGAGTGAGTTTTACAGAAGCCAGAAGCCCAAAGTGTATGGTAATCATTGTCAGCAAATTCTTTTCAGGCTGTCACTTCCTTCCTACTTAAATTACACAAATGTTACATAGACAAAGGCAAAGAACACCTGTAATAGAAAAGTCTTTGCCAAATTTATTTTGCAATTTTAAGCACAACACTTAAAACAAAAAAAAGTTTCTACCTCATTACAAAACCTGGTTTGAGTATGTCTAGCTTTTAAGGCCAAAGAAAGTTCAAAAGCTTTAATAATCAAAAGAAAGATCCCAAAATCACCTCCTGGAAGAGTTTTCATGAATTTAAGACAAAATTCCTCAAAATTCAGCAGTAAAAATTATTAGAAATAAATCTAGCTCTTGATCTAGATCAAATCTTTTAAAAATCTATTTTCAACTGAATTTTTCTGCATCTGCTTTCTGCAGACCGTTCTTTTAATCTACACATCTTTTAGGGAAGATGTCACACTATGGTCCTGGCACATTAAAATATGCTTCCTTGAAATTGCCTGTTCTCCTGTCTTTAAAAAAAAGTTTCTCATGAGTGAAATCCAAAGACTTCTTTAATAATTGTGCAGGGGCTTTCTGTCAGCACAACCACTAGCACTTCTAACTTTAAAACTCATGATATATACATGACTGAGCATAAGGTTTAAATAGAGGTTTCAATCACTTCCATATGTTAACACAAACTAAATGTGTGCATTTCCTAGATACTTTGTTTTGTTTCTTCACATCATTTTTCACGTGTATCCTAAGGTGCTCTCCAATTCTTCCCCAGCTGGCACCTTTACAAATTCTTAGCTGTGCTCTATGTAAAAGTTAAATAGTACTATTCCAAATATCTGCAAGTCTATGGTATACCTATTTTTGTTAAGGAGGGGCCTCCTGAAGCATTAGTATTCTTAGCTGCTTCAACAGTGGAAATAAAGGGGAGGAGGAGGAGGCGGCTTCCTTCTTGAAAAGTTAGAGTCAATTGGACCTCCTCAAGACAAGTGGCCTCTGTGAGCCAGCTGGATTACAGTTAGTTCGATAAGCAAAATCAGGATCAAATTCTAATCATGATTAGTGCTGTCCAAACATGATAAGAGGTTGCCCTTTACAAAGAATGTACCCTTGAAATCATGGTATATTCAATGAGAACGAGGACAGGAGAGAAAGTAGCATGACATTAGCTAATGTATACTACTTTGTGATGGTGTTAAATAGCTCAATCATCATCAGGTTACTCATTAAATCATCCATCAAGGGCAACCCCTGTATTAGAGATGAAATGTAAGATGGACAGTCAGAAGTAGTCTATAAAATTACTGTAGTCAGTGAGTTTCACCCACTATGTGGCCTGAGAGCATTGTTATTCTGCTATGGTGATGGCTACCAAAAAAAAAATAAATTCTCGAATTTGCAGCAAAATGTGCAAGAAGAGTCCCCTCACAACTTATATATTTCTGATTAACAAATGGAAGAAACCATCAAATTTCAAATTCCAAAATAAACCACAACATATTTAACATTAAAAATGCTTTAGCATTGCACTGTTAAACAGTTACACTGACATCTGCATTCACAGGATAATATTATTGCTAATACTCACCAATTAATTTATAAAAGTTACATCCTTACCTGATCATACAACTTTTCATCTACTAGGAGGTAAGTCTTTGCCCAGCGCTTGAGGAACCACACAATATCTTTGCCCATCTGGGGGCTCAGGAGGTGCGTGAGATTTGCCCTTATTGCTCTAGATTCTACTTCTGACACTCTTAAAATAGCAGATAACAACCTGCGGATTTAAAATACAATGAGGATGCTGAGACTGGTTTTTGGAGAAGGAAAGCAACTAACAAACTTCCATTTTTCACCAAATACAACAGGAGATCAGGATAACACAAAGTAGTTCAACTCTAATCAGGTAAAAAGCACCTGAATTTATTGTTTCTTGAAATGCAAGGAGAGAGGGAGGGAGAGAGACAGGATAGACTGGTAAATATCCTCCAAAAAATCATAATTGTGCTTTAAAAGGTGAACTTTGACATCAAAATTACTGCAACAAAGAATCCTCACAAGCATTGTGACAAATGGACTACTACTTGGAGCGCTTGAAAAGCTTTTTTGAAAAGCTGCTTCTCCCATCCTTGCACAAGAAAGTTTACTGACCAAATCAGTTCTAATTATGTAGCTTTCACAGTGTGACACAAACTAAAAAACAAATACAGAAATGACCACTTATTTGTCTCTTGTTTATCGCTGCAGAAAACCAGTCTGAAATAGCAGAACATCAGGTGATCATGTTAATAAACTCAGCCTATAAAATGACATTAAATGTTAGTTTTTTTAGTATGTCAATTAAGTTGTATAAGAATGTGATAGTGCACAAGAAATTCAGGAGTTGACGGTGGCCTGTATCTTGAAGATATTTCAGAGCTATTGACAGAGATCCTCAAGTCTCTCCTTATTTATATCTAACTTTATTTCCATCACCACTGAAACACTGCATCAAGAAATCCTGTTCAGTGACCACTTTTTGAAGCAGCCAACAGTATCAGTGAGAGGTATTCAAGGTTCTAAACATTAGGCACATACATCATTGCTAATGAAGATCCATTTTTTCTAGCTTCTTCCCAGAAGAAGACTTTTAAATAGACAACAACTAATCTTGGGTGAAGAATCTTCTATGTCAATTAAGAGTTGAATGAAATCTTCTGAAGTGTGAGGATTCAAATTAAGGAGTCCTTTGTGGGCATCAGCCTTCTTGTAAAAGGGAAGGGAAATCTCTCCTGCTTCTTTCATAGGCTAACAGTGATATGTGTACATAACTGACAAAAATTCCTCCTGCTCCAAGGATCAATTCTTCTGCTACTGCCAAGCTTGGGCAGTAACTCATATTCACAGCAGACAAGCTCACTGATGCTCTGGAAAGCATTAGCTTAAGATGCACATGTGCTGCATGAATTTTAGAGTATATATTATCAACTTTTTTTACTTAAATAATTTTAGGGAGTTTCTGTAATAGGTAGATCAAAGAGGAATTTTCAGTAGAGATATACAAAAAAAATCTCTATTTATTTCCAAGATTTTGCCTCATGTCCTCTGTTAAGACTATTAGGTATTAGGTCCACCTAGTCACTTCAGCATTCCCATCTTGACTCAGTGTTATCTGTTTTGATGCCTTACTCTCATTTTTCTTTTCAGTCCTTCCCTGGATCACCTTGACTTGAAATATCATCTATATTTACCCTGCCTTTCCTTATCCTAAAAAAAAAAACCAATCAACCAAACAAAAAAACTCACTTCATCCTTTCCATCTTTTCTTAATGCTCTTTTACAGCATTACCTTAATATGACTGTTATAAAACCATTCCTCTAAATTATTTGCCCTTACTTTAATAGTAGTTAAAAATGACATTTCTTTTTCAATGCTCAGTTTTTCAGTATTGCTTCTTTACTTTTCGCATTCACAGAAGTCCACTCACATTCTCATTTCTTCTCTTAAAAAGCATTTAACAAACTTAACAGCACAAGATGCATCCTTACCTAATTACAGAATCAGTTCTGTTGTACCCTGGGATGGAAGAGGCCTTTTCTCCTGGAGATCCCAGAATCTGAAGTGTTGTATTGATGTCAACCTCAGCTGAATGTTTAATGGAATATTCCATTACTTCTGGAGGTATTAGCGGAGTCTCTCCCTGAGTATCATTAGCCAAGAGGTAGCCTTACATTAAAAAAGAAAGAGTGATCACAACCTTCTACCCTAGGTTAACTTGCAGCTTTCTGATTAGAGAATCCATTGGCTTAACTGCAAACATCATACCAGAATCAAATGTTTGTACAACCTGACTAACATTGCTTAAATACAAAGGAATTAACTTTAGAATCCTTAAAGCATTTCAGCAGACAAAAACTTAAAGCGACAAGAAGAAACCACCAATTTAAAAACCAATTAAAAAAGAGGTAAGTTTTGCTTCATGTAAAAGTGCTACAGTCAATTCAACTATCTGGGAAAGGGACACCCCAAACCAACATTTTGATGTAATTTTTTTCTTGTTACGTGATAAAAAAAGCCTTGATTTTACACCTTTCCCACTGAGTCCATCTCATTTGGGACTTCTGTTTTCCTAACATTTCAAATCTGTCAGAGGTTTTAAGACACCAAATACATATCCTATAATACAGTTTTTCTTGCACAGCAACTGCAGATCAGGTGAAGCATGGGATTTTATACAATACTCTGGTATCCAGATAATATTAATTCCAGCTTTAGTTGAGTTTTCAATGTCTGATCCCATAGCTATCTGTGAGCTACAAATATAAACTCCATTCCACAGTATTACAAAATTATAAATACATTCATGTCAACATCTGAGAGTGATTAAAACATCAGATATAAAAAAAAAATCCCACAAAATACATATTATAATATAATCCTACAAAATGTATAGTATATGATATATTTCTCCTAACAAAGACATAGTTATTACGTTTTGCAAACATAAGTAAAATATTTTCATCTAAAAATTAAAACTGAAATTCAACTTCCCTGAAATATAACAAAATGGCAGGACATGGATCATCAGCACTGAGAAATTCTAGAACTTACTTGATTCTTGGCCACCACTGAGTACTACCATTATCCTGATCTCACACTGGTTCCCTTATAAAGTCATGTGCCTCCAGACAATACCACTGGTACCATGAACAGACTAATTTCTTGAATAGGTTGACTGATAACACAGCTGAAATCTATAACAAAATTAGTTGTGGGCATTTCCAAAGGACACTACCTCATGTAAAGATTTCATCAATCTTTTAAAGATAAACATTCATGTTATTCAGGCAGATGAAAGTAAAACAAAGACTTTGCAAGTAAGATGCATGTAAGATGAAATTATCATAAAGGATAAAAGGTATAGTCAATTAAGAGTAGTTGATATACAGGGTTTCTTTTTTTTTTTTTTAAGATGTCCCAGCTGCAACAAGACTACCAGAATTAGTACTATTTAAAGCTGTTCACTAACCTGTGACTAAAATAAGCCAATGAATATCCTCATACAGGTCATCAAGCACTTTATTGTCAATTGAACCTGATGCTGGTGAGGCAAGTAACTGCTGCTGATGTCTTTGCAACTGACCATGGAGCCTTGTCACTCGGTCTTCTAACAAACTGTGGACAAATAACAATAAAATAACTTCACTGCTTTTAAATTGTTTTGGCCAAGTCAGGCTTTTCATATGTGATGGCTTTACTGATTCGCATTCATGACTATTTTTTTTGTACTTACCTTGTAAGAAGAGGTATACAGTGTTCTGCAGCAATTCTGCCCAGCATGCCTACACTGGCCAACTGGTCACAGAACTGGTCTCTGTCATCCTCCTGCAGCTCACTTATTTCTTCTTCTTCCCGAGAGGCCACACCATTGGCAGTCTTTGGTTATTTCAACAAAATTAGAAGCAACCAGTTAAGAGTCATACTTGTTAAATTTACCATCATCAGTTTTCTGCATTATTTTGGTACTTTCTTTCAAGGTGTTTTGCATGGATGAACAACAAATTTGTAGTAAATTAAACACTGAAGAGTTAAACAGAGTCAACATGGGTTCATATTGTTTTAAAATCAGCATTTCACAAACTCATGAGCAAAATGTCACACAGTTAATTTGTCTACTTGTTACTGTTTCCAATAGTGCTCTCAAGTAAAAAGATTCACTGTGAAAAGACTCAAGAATAGGACTTATGAAAATTGATACCTGTTATTAATAGTATAAACACAAGTTGGTCAGTAGCAAAGCAGCTTCTTTACATTTTATAAATCAGCTCTGTTGTGTATCCACTGCTAGAAGTGTGATATAAGGTACTGAATTAGTCTGGCTCACAGAGATGGTCTCCAAAACCAATGATGAAAAGATTGTTGAAGTACATTTGTATTTCGAATCACGTATATAGCAAACAAAGAACCATTTTAAATACTGGAACTTCCATGCTTTTTCCTATTCATTAGTCGAAGATATTGTTGTCAGTTGTCTGAGATCTTACAGAAATCATGTAATAGGTACTATTTTTCAAGATGAAATCAAAGTAATCTCTTTTATTAAAGATTTTCCATAACCTACTGTTTGAAAGGAAATAGTAGTTTAAAAAGTACTACTTAAAAATAAAAAAGTACTTTAAAAAGTAAATGCTATAACCTCAGGAAAACAGAAGACTAATAATCATCATCATCATCATCTCAGTTTTATGTTTTGCTGATGCAAAGTTGCACTGTTCAATTTCTCACAGTTTATCTTGGTTGCATTATAAAACTATTTAAATAATAATCAGATCTTACTCCTTGAAGAGATGAACCATGATATGTAGAAACTAAGTATCAGTATTAAAAGTTTTCAAAATCTCTTGAATACTCATAAAATTTATGCAAGTAACAAAGAGAGAGAAAGCTATCAGTTTGCTTTATTTCTACAGGTCCTGGAAAACTGAATCCACACACAACTCCTTATACCAAGTGCTTCTAACCCATCTTTTCTTTATGTAACCAGGCAAATCATTCTCTTTTGGCAACTTCAAAGTTGCAGCTGTTTACTGAAGGGTGAGCCTCTGCTCTCAAAGTAGGGATTGAAAGTTCCTGTTACTGCTTTGATATTGAACAAGAAGCATTCTAAAATGCCAGCTGTGGCTTTTAAAAGGTTACCCATGGGATAAATGACTTATCTCACAGAATGACATGAATTAACCTGTGTATACAAGTTATGTCAAGACCGCCTGATATGAATTCAAAGTTCTCTAGTGAAATATTTCTCTTGGTTTTGGCACTGTTATTACCATCTGTTACATACTGAGATAGCAGAATTAAGTTTTATACAATGCTTTTCAGAATGAGGTATCTCAGAGATCTTTGCACAGCATCAAACTAAAGAGAGATTTTATAGAGTTATTGAATTGAATCTATGCAATAATTAATTCATCTAACATCTACACCCAACTTTCGGCATAAGAATCTATTCTAGAAAGATCCAGACTACTTGCAAATATACTAATCTGCTTTCTTTCTCAATGGCTACAGAGATACTTGATGTACTTTTAGGCTTTCTTTAGAACAGTCACCTGTTCAAAAATTCAACCGGGAATTCAAGTTATCCTAAAGGACCACATGATATTCCAAGTTTCTTCTATCCTGAGCATAGTCAGCCCACATTTTTTCAGATATTTATGCATTATACTTTGAAGGTAATGTATGGGAGCTAACAATCATAAAATAGGCTTTCAATTTCTTCAACTGAGAATTTTGATCAGGTCTCTAAGGACATCCAGAGAAGGATGGTCAAAAGTTTAGTCACTGTATCTATGGGAAGAAAGCAAAATACACATTGATCCGAGTTACAGGTTTACTTTTTTCTAATTTTTTTAAGTGATTTCCAACTTTGCATTTCTTTATTTCCTCTTCAGAATGTGAGAAACAGACTGGGAAATGACAACTGAGTAACAAATTCGTCAATTTTTTCATTTCCAAAGCCACAAATAGCAATTCTACACTCGCTGCCTTGAGTTACATAATAAATACACACCAAAAGACGTGGGCTAGCTACTATATGTCATCATCAAAATCTACTACAATGAGGGCTTACCAAATTCCTTGTGCCATCAGGAGCAGCTAGATGGCACTGAATGTAGGAATTAAAGACTTGAACAGCATGTTGGGTAAAGAAACCTTTATGGAAATGTTTGTCATCTTGTACCAAAGTAAGCCAAGATTCCAGCAACTTATCATATGCCTCCATATACACCATGTCATCTTTGTCAAGCTGTAAGAGATGAAAAAAACAAATGAAAAATCTTATTCCTAAACAAAACCACAGGAACGTGCTTATATTCATTATTAAACAGATGTTCTTCTACTGTTGAAACAAAAAGAAATCAGTCACAAACCCCATCTAAGGATAGCCAAGATTGAAGCAATGCATCAAAAAGGTCAGTGCAGCTTTCGTGCTTGCTAGGCTTTTAAAAAACTATCAGTGTGTTGAGCTGTTTCTCTTCATCTGATGTTGCATATAAATTTATATGTATTCCACTACTACTGAAATAAAGAGACAGAAAAGACAATGATTCTCTTTTCCACAGGAAATTACTGCAAGATTGCCATGTGTTCAAGAAACCTTACTACAGGTAGCCAGTTTTGATGAATAATCACAACTTCTCATTCTATAAGCAAACCAAAAAACAGTGGAAAAGCCTGCACCTCCAATTACTTGATGTATTTCAACTGATGCTTCATGTTTCTAACCATTCATATGTGCTTCTACGTAGTACTTAAGCTGCAGAAGGAAACAACTTATCTGAAATACAAAGTCCTGGGTTACAGGCAGACTAAAAAACCCAAACAGCAAAGAGGCCATTTATTTTAAAAATATTTTTAATATAACTATCAACTTTTTGTCTTGATGTAAAAATTGAACTTTTGTAAATATATCCAACCTCCAATAACTCCAGTGTGACTGTACAGATAAACATGCTGCTAAGACGCTAAACTCCCTCTAAGAAGTCTTCTCAAGTTTTAACCAACAGGATGGCTCACAGAAGTTACTTTCAGATAGCAGAGCTTAGTAAAATGGTTCATTGATGAAATAAAGAGACATTAAGGCCTTAATCATGCTCCAGACACAAGAATTCCTGACTTTCAGTGAAGTTACAAACATGGTTGAATGAACAGGCAAGGAAAAGAAAACACTGGCTGATTAAGAGGAAGAACTGATATCACACTGGAAGTGTTTCAAGATAGCTTCACCGCATCATTTTGTAACTGCAAAGTGGTCATATTTGCATAAGTTAAAATATGGGACACACTGATGCAATTGCAAAACCAAAAGCTGAAGATGACAAGGAGAGAGGCAAAATTGCATTCAACACTAACATAAGTCACAAATTTGGGAAGGACAACATAACACATCTTTTTAAAACTTGGCTAAAGGTCACATGAATTTACAGACAGTCATTTAATCCTAAAATATTTTTATATGTATGTAATATATATACATCTATTAACCTACATACAACTTTTCATAATTTATAAGAATCAAGAGCATAAGCAAATAAACACACATCTTTATGAACAACAAAATACCCTCAAAATACATCCAATTCATTTATTTGAAAAGGTAATAAAGAAGATAATGTCATGAAGAAAAATTATTTTAACTCTAAGATATTCTCATAAGCAATCTAGGACTAATATGCCTCTATAAAGTACATGCCCAATAGTAGAAAGATTTTATCCATATTGAACCAATACGGTCCCAAAGAAACCTTACTAAAAATCCCAATCCTTATTTCAGATTACCTACAGCTGAGCTACTGAAGATGTCCTACAGATAAAGTGTTGTGCTGTAGACTGGAGAGCTTAATCATTCTGATGGATCAGAACTCAGATCTTCAAGAAAGGCAAGATAAAACCAACAAAGTTAAAGCAAAAATTCTTAATTCCTCTACTACAGGAAACAAGAAGAAATTTGGCCCTTCTTCCTTCACAGTTTGCTGACCCTTTGAAGAACGAACACTACAAAAAATTGTCAAGCAGCAATAAGCTAGAAAGCGTTGGAAGCACAGCAGAGAAGACCAAATTCGGAATGATCTCTGCCATCACATGATACTTAAAAAATATCATGAAACAGAACAATGCATTGAGATTCAGTCTGAGAAAAAGAAGCCTTTGATATAGTTTCTTAATTTAAAGTCAAATATAATTTGACTTTTCATCCAACATCCTGTTTAAACTCTTCACTACTTCAGATGGACTATTTGATTTCTACTTTTGCAAAAGCATTAGGTGTTAAGCAAGGTGGAGCATAGCTGTGGACAAGTATTTACTCTCAGACCTAGTGCCATTAAAGGAAGAGACTACTGGTCCAACTTGCACTGTAAACCAGCATTGCTGAAGCTTACTGCTCTCCCTCCATTAGCATAGCTGTTCAGGCAAATGTTCAAACTTCCTTCAGTCAATCTCTCCAACCCTAAGCGGCAGGTTAATGTGAAACAGTTTGAACACGATATTTAGATTGTGGGTTTCCCCCCTTGGTTGAAAATCACTATTAGCTGCTTTGAAGTGGTTTGCATATTTTGATCCACGTTTTGACAGTTTTCATAGCAGATCTTGAGCAAAACAGATTCCTTGTCCCTCATGGGCTTTCTGCTGTGTTCACATGATACGTTCTGCTGGCACAAAGTGGCAGAAATATGAGGAAAACAGCTTTTTTAACCAGCAAAGCTTAAGGAGTATGCCTGCCTGCCTTCTGCTGCACTTCGTATTTCTGAAAAGCTCTGAGAACTCTACTGAGCCCAACACACATGGTATTTTATATATCAAAAAGCTCTTAATTGCAGACAGCACATGAGCTCACAGAAGGTATCACTTCACACATTCTAAGCAAGAAGCTTGGGGAACACATTAATCATGGCTGCGACATTCCTAAGCCAAAAGATCGTTTCCAGGGATGCAAAATAGTACTTCCATAGGCACAGCACACATTACACCATCAGGACTAAGTTAGCAGTAACTTGAAAGTCTTGGTAGCATGCCTTATTGCTCATGCACTGTTAAGATATAAGCATTATTTTTTGGAAGGTACATCACTACAGAATTCTGTATCATTCTGAAAATCAGAGAAACAACATCAAGTTGAGACACCTATAAGAGCAGTAACAGAACAGGAGGGGTGAAAGTGTAATGTTCCTCTTTTCACAGGATGATTTAAAGATTGAAGGACAGTGAGAAAATTCCCCCAAACAACAATAACAAAAAAAAAACCCTCTTGCATTCTCTTGTTTTGATGCTGCTTAATCTGAGAACATTTAATACTGACAGAAGTTTCTTCAGCAAAACCTATGGGATCAAATATGTGTAGCAGCCACAGTTTACTAGGCATAACTAGCTAGTCATTTCCAAAATAAACTTTTTATCAGATAACGTACATGCTATTGTAAGATTTTGCTGAGAAATTAAGTGTTTTGAATGGCATTATGTTGAACACTGTTTTCATTAAATATGATTGCTTATTCTAGTCCTCAAGTAACAAGAGGCTAACTGAGGAAACAACATCCCTTTAGTCCCTTGAATTAAATGACAGCTGCCTGTGGTTTTTACTAAATCTTTTCTATAAGGGCTTCAGGAGCATTCCTAAATGTATGGGTGAGCACTAGAACACATGTTCAATGTTCTACTAGAAAATTCCAAAAGCAGAGCAAAATTTGACCAATAAGGTCTGGAAAGTAGCTGTATTTCAGACTCTGAATTTAATCACCAATTTTTTGATTAAGATATGAAAAAACTTTAAAGTTTAAGTGAGCACCGGGCCAAATGTAATACATTTTAACCTTGCAGTGAAGAGATGATTTAATGCCCTGCAATGAATGCTAATTAACACACCTGTGTTCTCTAGTAACGAAACATGTCCATCAACTTTGTAACTAAATACTTCTATAATTATTTTCAAACTCAGGTAATTAACCTTAGTCATTATACGAAACGAGAAAAAAAATACTTTCTCGTGTTAATAGGGAAATATTGGTTAGTATCTTGATAATCTCATTTTATATCTACATCTACTGCATATAAATAGCTGAAGTGCAAGATTATTCACCTTAATTTTTATGTTTGTTTTTTTTTTTCCCTTGAACTAGGTCTCCTTAGGGGTTTTTATTTTTAATGCAATTTTTAGAAGCAGAAAACTTGGACTTCCCCATTAGTCTTTAGCGTTACAACCAAAATTTGAAAGAAGAGAAGAAAATCCTCTTAGTTTCTGTGCTAGATTTGTACACACAATTACCATTTGAACTGTGTCAGTGATGAAGGCATGATCTGAACAGCTTAGAAATCTGGAGTTAACAACAGATCTTAATGGCTACATTCACTTAAAACAGACACCCTGAAACAGAACTCCTGACAGCAGTTAATTTGCAGTCTGTCCATATGTTCGCATAGTCATTTTAAGCTTTTGGGACTGTAGCTTGTTTACTACCTACAACAGTTTTCAGAGAAGTCCTACAACAGCAAGTCAGCAATATCTAAGACTTCAATATTTTTAAATTAATCCATTCTTTTTAAAATTAAAAATTTAAGACAAGTATTTTAAATCAAAACAAAATCTGAAAGATGAACAAAGTGTGTAATTTTGTTCATTACACTGCGTGAAATAAAAAGAAAACTCTCTCAGAAAGGATTTCAGAAATCTAGGACAAAACCACTGAATTCACAACGGTTATTAACAAAACAGCCAAATTCTCCTGTCGCTTGTGCTTATCACAATTAGAGAGAAACAAAAAAGACTACCTCCTATTTGCAGCTACTTACCACTTCTTCCAAGGCAGCACTTCTTCCAAAGGAACAGGTGAGGTGTGCGAGGCAGTTTACAAATGAAGAGAAAAGTTCATTTGGAATGGCCGTTAAAATATTGCGAGGAAATACAGTTATCAGGTTGCTGATAATACTGGAAATTCCCACTGCTTCAGAGTCTTCTATTTCAATTCTATAGATAGAAACAGCAGGTTTTTGCCATTAAGAAAAATGTTAAAAGGGAATAGGTTTTGTTGATACACTTTCAATCAATAAATCTACTTCATATTATGTAAGCACCACCTACTTTAAATTGCCTTTTCTTTCAACAGTACGTACAAATTATACCCAGAAATAAGCAAGCCATACCACTTCTCCACACAGATATGCTACACCCCAAACTGAAGATTAAAAGATGCCATCTAAATTTAGAGAGCAGGCATACATACCCATTGATAGTATTCAGTAATCCCTCAATGAAGTGTGCCAGGTAATCAACTTGTGAACCTTCATCAGGAAAGACTGGCCCGTGCAAAGACGCCAGCTGTGCCAGGCACTGTAATGAATCTTGGGCCATATCTGTATCTTCTCTGATTTTTCGATGTACCTTTCAGGAAGTGAGGTAGTTAATAATACATGAAAACAGGGTGTTCTTAAAACAGTCACATGGCTCTCAATCCAAAAGAGCACAAACCAAAAAAAGCTTACTATAACTTCCATTCAGTCTGAAATGCAAGGGTTTCTATAACTCCCTAAACCATGGCAAATGTCGAGATAGTGACTCAGCTCACAAAATCGTAAGCTGTGAGTTAGCTCACTGAAACTAACATTTAGTTAAGGCTCACCTACATGTTGAAAATTGAACTGTCTACTGAATGTTATGTCTTAAAGAGGGAAACAGATGCCAGCCAGTCAGACATGCTGCTCTTTCTAAAAACAGCAATAATGACAGTCATCTCTATTATGCTAACTATGCCTAGGCTATAGAGTCTTGCTAAAGTTAGTCAACGAGTTCAATCAAGATTATATAGATGCTTCTTTAGCAGAGGTAAACACTGAAGACATATACAAAAATGAATGCATCACTTCCTTGGCAACACCCTCATGTTATACAAGACCAACAGTAATCTTCCTGTATTTCTGCAAACTGTTATGTCATTACTTCTGTTGTTGAGACTTTCTAGATTAAAATCTTACTATTTCAACAAACATATTCTCACATACTTATCTGAATCGTCAAGTATGGATTTAAAGAATTTTCTTAGGCTCATGCCTCCTATTTTTTCACATAAGATTTACTGGATAAATAAAGAAATATAGAGTAGTTTTTTCAGCCAGAAGCAAAATTTAGTTAAATTATTTCAGCAATATTATACATAAAAGTACAGTTAAAACACTAACCATTTCTCTGTGGTGTTATAGTTGCAAGTTCACCCAACTCATAACTAGTTGGATTAGCTGCAAAGTTAATCCCTGAAAAATCAAACTAGCAGGAGAAATAAACCCTGCAACAGAAATACCCTTCCTAATATACAACCCACACGAGGCTGAGATTAGAACTGGAGGCACTCACTTTAACACGGCAGTCCAGCCAATTTTTGCAAGGTTATTAAAATTTCTCAGATCAGATAAGTGAATTAAAATTACTACCAGTCACTTATGTTACTTCAAACAGCAAGCTACTACTAAAAGGCTCAACCACTGCAAATCAGGAATCTAAAACCAAAACAGACAGCATACTGCCCTGGCTAGTGTTCACTGAAGCACAGGCAAGCTTTGGTTACTATTAAGTAACACGCAAATGTACTAAAACAAACCTGTATATTATTCAAAAATTTTTTTCTTATCACAAATAAGTAACTGTAAACCAATCAAGAAAATGGATACCTAACTCTGACAAGTTCATACTATTAAATGAGGAAGGGTTCACATGTAAGCCAAAAAGTTATTTGCATGTGGAGGTTCACAGCTGACAGTAGCAACTGTCTGGATAGTCTAGACAGCTGTTCAGATTGTGTGTAGCTGCTAAGAGTTCTGCCAGTGATTTTTTTTTACCTTTTCAAAACTACTGGAACAGATAAATTTTTACTTTTATTGCAAGTTTTTAAAAAAATTAAATTTATCAAAAAATCCTATAAAGTAAGGACATATATCCAAACGTACTGTCAAGCAACACTAGAGAGTTAAATTCACATTGTCTAATGACAACTTTGTCCAAGTTTTGAGCACATCATTTCTCTGCTTTGCAAAAATGAAAAAAGCATGAGAATGCTGAATTCTCAGGTCCCAAGAGATGTAATGTAAGTTAAATCGCATAGTAAATGAATTTATAAGTCAATATATGTTGCTGCTGCAGTTAAGTCCTTGCTGAGCAATAACTACAAACTTCTCCCAACAGTTGCAGAAAGAAAACAATACTAGTTTTATCCATTTTTAAAACTGTAGGGTTTTTAAGTTAAGGAAACTGAGTTCCCCTCTCTCAACACTACTTCTTCCTCATTCCTCTAGCTTATTTTCTATTTTAACTTGTTTGGATTTACTTTGTGCTGAGGAAAGAGGTAGAGATTCTGTATGCTGAAACTGGCTAGAAAACTACAACTACATTATTTATTTTCAGCTGTTCCCTTGAGTAAATGCTTTAAGATCTGCAAACACAAACTGCACAAACTCTCATCTTTTCTGAGAGCCCTTACACTTATCTGAAAGATATACTCTACTACTGCTCATCAGGCTTGGTTTTGTCTGATGAGAATACGTCCAAAAGTATTAAATGTAAAAAAGTTTAGATAACTATAATACCTTTTTCTTTAGCTAATGGTTATCAATTTAAAACAATTAATAGGCAAAACATATATTCAAACCTAGGAAAAAGACAATCCTTCTGTCTGCTTTGATAAGCAAGCTGAATATAACAGAATCAGTCCTACCTGATGCAAAAGGAAGAGTCCAACAATACAGTTTTAGAACAGGAAGGAGCTGCTTTCCCTGCGGTCTGGACTATGAAAGTTGAAGAAAGAAACTTACTGTAAAGAAAAGCTCCATAACTCTGCTGTCCAGGAGAGTCTCGCGCCAGGATTCTGTTGGCTTTAGCATCACATTTTGTGAGGATTCAAACATAGCTATATAATGTCTGCCCAGTTATCTGGTGTCAAGGTCAACAATAACATTCCTACTTGGCTTTAAAAAAATCCTAGATACAACAGGATCCATTCAGAAAGAATGTAATGGAAACAAACTTTAAGCCTCTTCACATACACAGCATAATTCATGCATGAGGCCAAGGAATAAAAGGTATTAAGTATTGAAAAAAAGAATGCTCCAGGAATGTTAGATAACAGTTTGATCATAATTATGAGACATACCATAGCGATACGATCACTTTGATAACCAGGGTGTCTAATGCGACACAGCGAGAAGGGACAAAAGCGACCGCAATTAACAGGTGTTAAAATTTATGCAAAATAGGAAATAATTTTCTAAAAAATTTTCCTGGCAGCTTTTAAAAAGGCCTTACCATAGCTAAAGATAGCTCATTGAAATCTATATCCTATTTTTCTAAATAGCCAAATATGCATCACAGAATACAGATATGTTAGCTCTGCATGAAGCTACATTTTCTAATCATTGAGAACAAAAGCATAAGACAGCACAAGGCATCGTCATATTAAACATGTTTGTAAGAGATGCATGTGAAAAATGAGCACACTGTGAAGCCATGATTTTACTGCACTCATTCCAGCTCTCACCACATATTTTGGCATAACTTAATTTACAAAATTCTGCAAATGTTCTAGTACAGAAAAAACAGAGACGTAAGCAAAAATATTTAAACAAGCAGGTTCAATTCTTTGTCAGTCTGGTCACGCAGAAGAGCGTTCAAAGATTTCTGAAGTGCTTCCTTTTGTGACACCACCCAATCCAAGTAGTAGTAAAAACGTTTTAACTCAGCAACTTACGTTTTATTTGTCTTTCTTAAACCCTACATTATCCTCCTTGATCCCTTTCTAACCCAACCGTCAGAGTAAGTAACAGCATGTTCAGCTGCACGTAATTTACTTACTGGTAATGAACTGCATTAACTTTTGTACTGTAAGTAATCAGGTATTATAAAATATGTGTATAAAAACCTATTTCTACGTCTAGAAGAAAATAAATTCTACAATGGTATCATGCGAGAAAGTAGACCCCTTAACTTTTGATGGGTTTTGTTTGAGGGAATAATATTTAAAGTTAGCATCTAGTTTAATAAGAATTGTGTCAAAACGTAGGATGCACACTTCTGGTTTAGTTACATGTGTCTTCTGAGTTCTGCCACAAAACAAAATTCCTAACAAAACTGTGCAAAACCACATTCCAAAAAAGGGGCTTTTTCCACAGCACAGTACCAAGTGTACCTTCACTGGTGCTATGTGTCCAGAACTTCTGTCAGCACGTTATGCTGCCTAAGAACAATCAGATATTTTCATTAGTGTAAAACAAAACCAGTTTCACAGTTTTAAAAATTATCAGTTATCAGTATATGTTGAACCATACCAAATCTGCATTCTTTCATATGGAGAAACGCTAAAAATCACAGAACTTTCTATTTTACTTCCCTCTGAGAAACAGACGCAATTTAAGTGGTCAAAAATGGTTTGGGGTTCTCCCCAGTGGAAAAAAAAAAAATTAAAATATGGGCATGAAATTATCACAAGCAAACATGCTTTATCAGGAGCAATATTACAAATTGAAACTAATTTTACCTGGCAAATTAAGCTATGCCTTTTTTTCCTTTTCATGTGGAATGTTTTAGTCAAAATGGTATTTTAAAACCGTTTACTGACAAGAATGCCCTTTGCTGTGAACATACCAATATCAGAAGACAACCACAGATACAATATCGATCTCTTAAAATAAATTTGTTCTTTGCTAGGTTGAGCCCACAGAGGGGATCAGCTACAAAACACTTTTCATGTGGAATGAAAGAAGGGCTAGTTTGCTGTCACTATTTTAACAAGGCTCACTATTTAGCAGCCCTATCCTGTTATTTTTAGTCCTGTTTCTCACGCTAATGGACTGATGACACATCTGACAATAGGAGATTTGTGGGTAAAATATCTGTTCACTGAACATCACAAATTATACCTCCACCTATCAATGGAGATCTTGAACCCATTTTCCATCACATACTAAATGTATGCAAACATTACCAGAAGTTGGCTGTGGAGATCCTTGCTGCCAAGAAATACCCCAGTTTATACTGTGCTATGGTTCAGCCTTATTAGCAGTAGTCTAGTTATGCCAAATCTGAAAAAAAATGGCACTAATTACCTAGTACATGCGTTACACAGGACAAATGCAGTCTTCATCATCCAAAATTAATTTACTTCTCAATGCTTATGAAGAAACAAAAAGTACAGTACTAGAACAACACTTTTTTTCTAAGCACTCAAGTTTAGACTTATGATTTAGACTTTTAATAGAGATTTATGATAAGCGTAGATCAGTCTGCCGTGACATCCTGGAGAGTTTGGGGAGTTTTCTATTTGTTTCTAAAATGAAAAACATTTGTAAACCACTTCTGGTAATAATAGAAATGCTTCTAACATTTCTAGTTCAACTGAGGAATTATTAACTCTTACTACAATTCACGTTGAATGACATGGAAATTCAGGCTAGGAAACAGCTACCAGAAGTATGTCAAAGTTTCACCCATTTTGCAAGGCTTAGGGCACTGATTCCTTCAGAGAGTAGAATCTTCTGCATGAATCAGAACAGATTATTCAATAACATGAACCAAACGCTTTTGAAAAGCATAAGAATATAACTAGATGCCTTCATGTATGATAAGGCTCATATGCTCACTATTAGTGTCTAGAAAGGAAAAGGAGAAGACCATAATGTTTAAAGAGAGATTTTCTTTTATCTTTGCTAAATTTATGCATGTAGACATTATGCTTGGTTTTGTTTCATGAGCTGGAAAAACGAGTAGTCTTTTTAAACTTACAAATTTTTAAAACTAATTTAGAAAACAAAGTTCGAGGTTTTATGTGCTTCTTGGAGAAACATATTAAGAAAAAGAAAATAAAGGACCAGCAAATGTGGAGTTTTCCTCCCACTCTTAGCCTCTGTCCCAGGAAGGGTCTGATCGGTGAAGATGCATATCAAAATATTTCATATCCTAAGGCAGGCATGAGGGATTATAATGTTTCACTTCAGTACTTGCCACAAATTCCAGTATCTGAGAATGGACCCCACAGTCTTTTTCCTAAGAGAGGCAAGTCTTGTTCTTCCACAAAGCAGTAAGTTTGGAACTCAATAATCAAAGCTGAGATTTCTCCTGCTAGAACCCCATTCACAAATTTGTCCACAGGAGTGAAGAACATCTCAGAAATGGAGGAAAAGCTCCCAGAGTGCTAAGGTCCAAATATCTTTCTTAAAAGTTATTTTAGTCACTTTACCTTTGTTGTCTGAAATATTTCTGGACAGCTTTGTGCCAGTCTCAGACTTGTATTTTACAATTAAAAAACTGCATTAGAAAGGTAAGTGCTTGGAGATCTGCCATACACTGTTAACATACTGATTTTATTCGGATTTTTAAGACCTCCGCTGCCTTTCTAGCTAGTCAGCCAAGAACATGGGATGAATCCAAGGAGCAACTGCCTAAAACTGATGCAGAGGCTTGCTGCCCCCTATGGAGAAATTCCTCACAGACCTTTCCATACCTTACACTCTCAGCAAATACATGCAGCAACCAGGACAAGGAACATATGCTTAAATATTTAATTATTAAACACAAGTATTCTTAACTACCATGAGAATGGAACAGTATTTTGTGTTGGAGACACTGGACTCAGACTGCAGCAACAGGGGGAGGAAGTGTAGGAACACCCAAGCTAATTTTAAACCTGGCCGATCCCAGAGCCTCTAGCAGTTTAGCCATTCCAGTACCAAGGCTCATGACCACCCAAGTGGATTCCCCAATTCCTGGTACATTCTGCTGCTATGGTTATACAGCTAATGGTATGCAAGCTAATCACCCCAAGCCTAACTTGCATTTAAAGCACCTATGCACAAGTAGTTGCCATGCAGATGTGGCTTACAAGTCATAGTGGCTGCCATCTAGGATGCTGATGACTATCGTTAAAAAACTGGAAACATAAACTACTGGGGCAAGCGAGCAGAACGTCAGCTCCCCTTCATAAAAACGGTGATTACTAGGATGCTCTTACGTTGCAACCTGATTTCAGAATTCATTCAGGAAAACCTAAATGAGAAAAGACTAGTAGTTAAAAAGTTCAGTATCAATATAAGTATCTTTAGTGCAATTGTGATCAAATTCAGGGGACCCGTCAATCTTACTGGTTTTGCCCAATGTTGTCTTAAAAAGTTGCTAGAAAGGATTGCCAAGAAAACATGTAGCACCCTAGAAATAATTTATAAACATCAAGGATTTCAAAGTCAGGTTAGTTTTCACCTAAAAGTGGTAAGTCTAAGAAAAGTAAAATGCAGCTCTCTTTTGCACTTTCATAAATACAGCTATTTCAGTTACACTGAATTTTTCTTTATATCCCAAACAATAGCCAGGACAATGCCCCAACCCTTTTTTCAGATAAGGACAGGCTGTTGTAGTAAATTCAGGATAATTCCAGGCTGCTAAAAACAAGGTCTATGAAAAGCAGCTGTGCTGCTGAAGAAATCTGTGTTGTAACTCTTTGGTACAGGTTGAATCCTTTCTGTAGCTATGCAGCAAATCAAGCTGGGGACCATGACCCGATAAAAAAAACACCCCCATGTGAGGTGGTTCCGTGCTCAGTATCATGCTCATGGGAGGTGATAAGGCAGGGTGCTTTTTCAGCAGCAATGCCAACTTGAATAATTTCTCAAAACAAAATCTCAAGTTTTCTGGAGCATTCTGTGTGGTTTTCATGCACTTCCATTATGTGCAACAGATGCTTCCAATCTGGGTTGGACTGAGTTCAGATCTTGAAAGTCTGCAGAACGGTATGGTTCACAGAATCTCCCAGACAGGTGTCTCATTCTGGCTTGAGGTTTAAAAGACATTTTCAAAACAGATATGAAAAGCTTTCTTCCTTTAACTGTGCGGCCAAGGAACACACACAAAAATGTTCAGATCAGACAAAAGCTTCAGTCAGTTCATACAACTGCCATTGCACCACTAACTTCAATGGAACGGCAATGATGCATATTAGCACAGTGCAACTCATTAGGTTTACGTAACCTGCATTTTAAATCCCCTATTCTACATTTATTAGAAAATTTGCCAGCTTGCCTCCAAACAAGTAAAGGCACCAAATCCAAAACAAGAACTAAAGCTCAAGCTTCTCTTTATGTACTATGACCCACACATTAAAGAGAATAAGGGATAAGTACTTCCATGACAGCTCCTAATGACAGATAACAGACACCTGTCTGTAGATGGGAGACAGCTGGACAAAAATCTTATGGTCTGCTGAAGAACTTTTCCATTTGAGGACATTCAACCAAAGCGCATTAGAATGTGGCTGCCAAGAACAGAGAAATCCCAAAATCAAGAAGATGGGAGAAACACCTCTGGAGGTAAAGTAATATAATTTATAATTACATCCTGACTTCACATGTTCATGCCAAGGTGCATTAAAACCCAGCAACATTCAGCTCCCCAACCAGAGACTTAGGGTACTCACAGTGTACTAGGAGTGAGCTTTAACTTCTATCTAGCGCAATAGATGAAGGCAGTCTTGTAAAGGAGACGGCCGTACCTCTTAATACTGATCACCTGCACTTCCTTTATTAGTAAAAACATTCATTTAAGAAAAGATGCAGTTAAAACTAGTTCTATTTGAGTAAACAATATTTAACAGTACTGTAACAGCACTGAAAAAAAGAAACTGTACAGAAGCCAACATGCCACAAAAGACTATCTCTGAATCAGCCGCAAACACCGGGTGAACTAGTATCTCAAGGCAGCACATAAAAATAACAGTAGATGATTGCCAGAAAATGAAATGGGAGAAATTGCAGATGACCAAAGGGAGGCCTCCAAGGTCACTGTGCCATGTCCTTCCTATTGCAGGCATTACATCCAAAGACACTTTAAAAATACTGAGTTCCAATTTGAAAGTAGGTAGACCCCAGTCTCTCTTCTTTTGTTGCTCCGATGAGGTGGCCATTTCAGAATTTGTCTTTCCTGGTGGTAATTGACAATACAGACTTATTACAACTCTTCTGTCAGGACTGGTGGCAGCACTGTCCAAGACTGCATTTAACAAAGCAACACTTATCCTATAACACTTGTCCCATAACAGCACACAACTCTTGAGAAGTGCTATGTTTTGATGCAATTCTCAAACTTGGGGATTTAAATAACCTGCCTCTTGCAATGGTCACTGTACAGTTAATGCACATTTATGCTACTTCCCTTTTTTGAAGGTAGAAGAATCTTAGTAAAGATTACATAAATATACTGCAGATCACTGTGACGCTGCAGGGAATACTGAGAATTAATACTATCTTGCCAGGGGAAATACCAACTAAAGGAAAAAGATATATCTGAGGATACAATGGATCGATTTACTCCATGCTTTGAGTATTAAATTTATTCCCATGGCTTCAGCACATGTACTGTCAAGATTTGGAAAGAGGATACCAAAAGGATGCCAAGCGGTCAATCAACACAGCAATTCTTACGTTCCATGTAACGTGCTACGTATTTAGAAACTACAGCCAAGTTAAGTTTCCCTGCCCATGAGCTAACAATTAACAGTTACTTTTAAACCAGTCTTCTTAAGGAAGAGAGATTTACGCCACAATACGATCAACATGGTGCTGTAAACCCCAACAGGTATTGAATCTTTGGCAGCTGAGACCCACATTTCTCAAGGATGATTGAGGACATTCCAATTTCTGTGAAAACAGGTTGCTACATAGAGCAGGAAGACCCAAGCTGGTGCTATAATTCTTACTGCAAAATGAAACATCCAGTGGTAGAAAACAAAAAGATGGTATCAAACGGATCAGAAATTATGAAAATATTTGAAACAGACCCATTAAGAGCACTTGTGGTTCACACTAAAGGTCCATCCAATCTCCAGAAATGGCCAGAATTTGTCTAACAACTGTAGTATCTAAAGTAGGCCAAGTAGCAGAAAACATTGTTAACCTTAAGAAGCAGTATGGCTTGCATTGCTATTTCTATTAACACTTCTTTAGTAGCATCTATCTACAGACTAAATCAACTTCATTTATACGGATGTATAAAGAAAAGCTAGAACTCCCAAGGCTCACCATCTTACTTGTGTCTATTTAGCTCCACCACTACAAACCTTAGACTGGGATAAAGAGCTCATGAAGAACTATAGCCTTCACTTCAAACTGTAACAAGATCAGTATTTAGGACTACATCAGAGGTTTGTACAGAGCAAGACTAAAATTCAGAGGGAATCACCACTGCACAACACAAAAGCATTTCCCTTCTACTTAAGATTACAGCTTAGAAGAAGTGTTCACACATGATTTGAATTCTTACAAATCCCAAATCCACTTCCAAAAACTTTTATAAGGTGCAATAATTTGACTACAGTGTCCATCTTGTAGGTACATGCACTAAATTCCTCTCTGAACCTCTGCCAAATCACTTCAGGGACAAACAGAAGCAGAGTATTTACTTTTAATCCATGGCACCTTCCATATAGCCAATATAACTGGTATTCTGCTTTACAGATGTGAACTAAGGGATATCCAGTTTCAAATAAATTTACTTTTGCTGCCTGCAGTATAATGAACAGACTCAAAGAAAACAAAACCTCGGAGATATCACCTTCTGACTTCCACACTAGGAAAGCAAATAAAATCCCTCACAGTGTATTTGAAGGCAACATCAAGATTCCTGCAGTATGTATAACTTGGTAGCAATTTCAAACATTTTAATAAAAAAGTTGATAAAACAGATAAAAAATTTGGCTCTTGCAAGGTTTGTTGAGCTTCTTAAAGACAGTCTGGCTATTAAAAGAGGTACTATAATGATGTACTATATACACTGTCTTAAACCTCTATTAAATACGGAGTGTAATTGAATATTTCTACAATATTCATCTAGCCCATTTTTTAGACTGAACATTTTTGTATCTTTTTCCTTCTCTCCCTCACTAAGACCCTTTCTCCTTCTGATTCCCATTTCCTCCTCTACTGTCCAACTCCACCTTTCTCTGGACTAATAATCAGCACACATCACAAAAATGTCAAAATGGAAGCAGTGGAAGCACCTGCATAAAAAGGAGATGCCATTTCTTCTCTCAGCTATCAAATATTTTTTTTCAGACTGAAGAGAATCTATTTTATGTTCTAGTATACGACCATGCTCTTTTATGGGGAGTTGGTTGAGCATGCATGTTCCTAGATGATCGGACATTTGCCTGCCCCTTTCTCTTCTGAGGGAGAAAAGTAGGACAGACCAGATCTCTGCATAAAAATTAAACAGAACTTAGACTTTTCACCATATGGTTCTACACTAAAGCAGCATATTACACATTTCCTCAACCCTGAACCAAACCAGACAGACCATGAACCTGTAACAGGGCTGCTCTGTTTGTTTTGTCTTTTATGTAAAATACTTTAAAACTTTAATGAAGAGCAACAGCAGCTTCTGTTAGCAAGCATGGTGGTGGTGATCAAAAGCACTCATGGAAGAAAATGTAAATCAAGGACTAAATATAAGGTTTATAAAGTTTTACTTTTTTCTCTCCTTTCAAAGACTTTACTTCTCACGCAGTAGGAAGTGACCCAAGTCAACAGAAACAAAGGTCCTGACATAAAAAGGATATAATTTGGAGGAAGGAAGTTCCAGCTTAAGACCTGATTGGCTAGTGCAAGATAACGCTGAAACACTGAAGACATCTGAGCACTGAGGTTTTCACGTCTGCTGAATTCCTGAAGTACCTCTACCGTGAGCATGAAGATCTGCCGCAGATCATCCTCCTATAGTCAGGACGAACACAATATATTGAGTATATCTCAGTCATTAATTAAAATGCTGATTAGAAAGGAATATTTCTTCTAAAGAGAAAATAATTTTCTGGTTTCACCCTATTTTTCATTACAATACAGAAAATATTCTGAAGTTGTCAGTGAGAATCCCCTCCTTTTGCCAAAATCAATTGATTACATTTGCAAAGACTATGAAAAAAATCTTCTGTAAATGCCAGTTGTTAAAAGATTAAAAAACAATATGTTTTTAAATAACTAGTGGAAAAGAGTTGGTCTTTGGCATGAAAAAAAGTTGGTAAGTTGTTCCACAACAGTCAGTTTAAAGCAATGGCTTCACAAAAACATTTCTGACTGGCCAAACAATACATCTGAGACAACCAGACTACACCATCTGCAATAATATTTTTAAATACATACATAGCTCTCCTTGGCTTTAAACCAAAGCTATATTTAAGACTATCATTGTTCCACAGAGTATTCGTTTTGTTTGCAATTGGTAGCCAAGGAATTAAGAGCCCAACCGCACAAAGATCTGTAGCTCTACATTCACAAAATGGGCACAAAGGGATTGCACCTTCTTGATACAAGTTTTTTAAAAATACATTATCAATTTTCCTGAAGTAGCCAGTATCTGCCCTTGTAGTATTTGTTCTAATAAATGCTTTTAAAGACACAGTGCACCTGAATGCACCTGGCACAGGAAAGTACTTCTGCTTCTCAATGTTTAAATTTTAGAAAAGAGAGGTATCATATATCAATACAGAACTAGTTTACCTGAAATATACGTTTACAGTTACCATGGAACTCCATGCTTAGTCCAATGTTGCTGGTTTTACTTGAACTTGAGAACTCGCTCAACAACGCCGTTAGAATGGAACAGGCCAAAGTTTGCTATAAAAAAAATAAGGGGGAATAATATAACTAAAAGATGTCCAATAATGTAATAGCACCTACAGTGTCCTTCAATTTTTTTATTAGCATTTTAATATGACTATTGCTTCCGTTCCTTCTAACACAAACTAAACAAGTCAAAATTTCAGGAATATAGATCCTTGGATGAACCATCTCCAGAATCATCAGGGTTCCATCTTACACAAAAGAAACTCGATTATTTGAGCAATATCAAAGCTGGCACCTGTGCAGTCTTCACTACAAAACAGAAACCAACTGATTGCAAACCATTTTCCAGCCTTGCCATTTACTTTCTCTCTCTGTGCACAAGGCTTTACAGGTATTAGTTTCAGGGAAGATTCTTTCCACTTATTTCAATTGATCTAATAGTTCAGGTCACATCACTTTGAAGTTTGTTTTGGCCCTTCTTTGCATTTGCTACACTTAACATGTTGGTATTTAATGATTAAATTTATAGCACCAGAAGTGACAGAAGTTTGTCAAAAGCAACACTTGCAATAATACACCGTCTACATCTTTTCCCTCTCCCTCATCAAAAAGAATTGAGAGGAATCCACAGAAACCTCTGATTTTTGAAAGGTCTTTGATACTTCCCTCCAAAGCACAATATCCACAAGCCTCAGAAATAATCTTTAAGACTACTCTTATAAAACAATGTCTCCGAAGCAATATAAAATTCAGTGAGAAAAAGCTGTGTTAATTTCACAGAGACAGATTCATGAAGGCCGAAGGTTTAAGTATCCTTTTCATTCTCAAAATTTAAGGTAATGCCTATCCTAAAACACAACAGTCAACCTTCTTTATGAAATACATGGCTCTAGCCTTTGTTGCTGTTTTCTTAAATATATAAAAAAAGGTTTTTTTCCTGATGCCAAAGGCCAGTAACCATCATCATTGGTTTTAATACCTGCTAACCCATCTTTGCACACAAAAGAGAGTAAGTATTGCTCACTGGAGATGCAAGCAGTACTTCAGAAGTGTGCCATACACTACTGTAACAAGCGCAATAGAAAGTGCATACGAGTGAAATGAAAACATCTTTTTGTTAAAGAGATGTTCTTCACAAAAAACTTCACAATTACTGGCTATCCTCCCAGACTGTTTGGAGCCAAGGTGCTAGGGATGGACAGAGGGATAGGAATTGTTAAAGGGTCATGCATGCCAGCAAGTGTCCAGGGGTTAAACAGAAATATGCACACTACCTCTGAACACCCGAAAGATTAAAGTGGAGATGATACTATTTATGCAAGCTCATACAACAGCTGAGACCAGTGCCATCCACCCACCAACTGCAACATCTTTGTTCAGAAATGCCTCTGAAGTCAGTACCTTGACCCCCCCAGACAACTAGTTATCTTAGCCAGTATACACTAAATTAACATTCTTACTTGCTAAATAAGTCCCAGACAGATCAAACATAATGGCTTCACGATAATATATGGGTTTTCTCTTCTACGCAATAAAGCTGTATCAGTACAGGAGACAGCATATTGCTGATCAGTTGCTAAGTACAAGCTTTACATTTTAAAGAAATAACCGTTTATTTCAAGTGGATTATTTCTCATCTACAGTCACCTCTGTCAAATGACACATATGACAAAAGCAATGTTCAGTCAGTGAAAAACAGTATTACATTTTAAACTATTCTAGTAAAAGTTCAACTTTGTCAGTTCTATACTACAAGTATTTCTAATTAGCTCAAACATTTCAGTATTTTATTTCCAAATTTATGTGTAAGGTATTCATACAATAAATATTTTTTCTGTAGAGGAAATCCTGATTTGATCTAATATTAAAAAAAAATGAAAATCAGTGTAGACTAGCATTGAGTTTTAAATCCAACATTAGAAGTTCCATATGAAAAGAATTAACCTGGGTTAAAAAACCCAACCAACCAACCAAAAACCTAAAAACACTTGAAGTCTGACGTTAGAACAATGCTTCAGATAAAAACACATGTTTTTAAAGAAATAATGCAAAGCTGCCAGAGAACACTGTTCAATTTCATTATGTGCCAGGAGATTCAGAGGTCTTACAAGACTCTCTGAATAGTTTAAAATACAGGCTTTTATTTGATGCTTAAATTACTGACACACTCACATTTTTCAGCTCAAAGCATCCATGACATAAGGACATCATTAGTTGTAATTACAAATCTGTACACTTTGATGCTCTATAATACACCCTGATTAACAAGTGGTATCAGTGGCTCCAATAGTACAATGGCCTGGGTAAAGCTAAGCTGCTTCTGTGTTACCATGCAAAGATCTTCACACCAAGCCACCATCCAGACCACCACAGGACAAGCAGGGCAGCAAAGCAGACCACCTATCACTTGCAGTTGGTTGCCAATTATTGGAAAATAAATCAGTAACTTCGAATGACAGATAAGGAGTAAGAGGAAAACAATGTCTGTTCCTACCATGATTACAAACAGTTAATATTAGTTAAAATAATAGATATTTTCTCCTTCCTTTTTCTCCAGTCTGTTTATATGTATATAATAATGTATCTTTCTCTTTGGAGAGTAATCTGTTACTGAAAGATACAAGTGTGTTCCAGGTTTTTTTGTGTGCTTTTCTCCTGATTCCAAGAAGAAATTATATGGAAGGTTAAATTTTATGACTGATGGTAAACACATCTCTTGGAAGGTAGAAAGAGCAATGGATGCAGCTAGGCTGACTGAATCTGCTAAGAGCCCAATAAAGCAGCTTGAGCAATGACCTGTCTCCCTAATTTCAATGAGAGCTATTTCAGGTAGTTCTGAGACATCACTACCTGCTTTGAGCATGACAGAAGTTACTAAAGATTTACACAATTTATTCCCTCCAGCATCCTAGTTCATGGCATACACCAGGGCACAATGCATCCCTCTGCTCTCTTCCCTCCTACTGAGGACCCAGCATGCCATCTACTTCCTCAGCTTGGTATTTCAATACCTGGGCTGCAAATCCTGCCCCATTCCCCTACCATCCCAAGGGTGCTGTGTGCAATATGTGCACACCCCTGTGATCCTGTCACCATCTGCACCTGCATTTACCCCTTGCATCCATGAGTAATTTTAAGAACTCCAGTATATCCAGGTCACCGGAGCAGGAGGAGAAGATATTGGCCAGTAATTTAAAATTTACTGCAACAACAGGCTGAGACAAGATAGCTTGAGACTGGTTTCCTAGAAGGCAGGTGCCAGCCCCCATGAGTTCAGCTTTTAGACAAGAGCTGAACAAGACAGACCACAGGACCTGTAACCAGTCCTTGCAACGTCAAGCATTTGCATAGAGCTATATGAAACTACCACTGGCTTCCCAAAAGTGGCATACGGCTGCAGGAATGTTAACTAACTATTGGCTTAAAGGAACATGTGCCCTGCCATCTATTAAACTCTCCTGAATACACAGTAATACTTCAGAAACTCTGGAATATAGCTTAAGTACACTTTACTAAAAATAAAATTTGACTTTTCATAAAGTAACTTTACTCAAAGTTAACTACTAATATTTTGAATTATATTTTTTTAATTTACAGGTATGTTTGGTGTGAAGACACTAACGACATCAACACAAATACTACTAGAAGAAAGATTTAAAAAATCTGAAAAACAACATAATTTCAGAGAAACCAGTACTGGTGTTCTCTGTCAACTAAAATTACTTCCTCTCACACATAAGAATATTGAATGCGACTAATACATATCCAATTCTAGGGTGGAGTGCTTTTTCTGTTGTTTTGTGGTGGGGTTTTGGGTTCTTTTATAAAGGTTTTTGCCACACCACAGAAGAGATCAACAATCCAAGTTAGTAATACCACATAGTAATAAGTAGAAAATGCACGTGACTCTAGGCATCATATTAAAAGCCAGATCTGAATGTCTATTGTGCAGTAATGCCATTAACCTCATACCAGTAAGAGTACACCTCTGAACCCAGTTTGACTCACTCGCTAGCAATTTCACCAGTTCTGCCACAAGTACATACCCAAACAATAACCCCATCTAACAAAATAAAATCCTCCTCTTGTTGAGAGTGGATTGCCTCTGAGAATAGCTTGGCACTCACCCCAGTTAGCTTTATTACCAGGAATAAACTTTATGAAAGATCACTATACATAAAATAGACTCTCAGCTGCTCAAACAGAAGATCAATGGGACTTGTGATAAGAGATTAACTTGGCAATCAGACACCCAGCGGTAACATCGGTTTAGTGGGTTTCTTTTTAAATTACTCTAATGAAACAGACACTACAGAAAGACTGTGCACCATTTTAACAGTAAACAACATTTATATATCATTCATAAAACTCAGATGCAAAAGGTAAATGCAACTTATTCCTCCAAATGGAATGCCCCCTATAAAAAAGTTAAACCCATAATGTTTGAAGGGATTTCACACTTGTGCCTGCGCTGCCCATGGAATAAATGAACTGCTTCATTTGAGGGTAGTTAGGTTACAAAGCATCTGAAGGGGAGAAGAGTTCAAATACAGCTTAGGAAAAAATGGACATGTGGTACACCAGCTCTGAGGCAGAAAAGCCAACAAAGCCAAATGAACTACAACACCAAAACAGTTTCCTCTGCTCTAAAATTCAGAGCAGAGATACACTTAGGCTGTCAGAGGTTTGATTAAATAATTTATTTTACTGCAAAACCTAAGCTATCATGCGATGCCCTCTACAAGTGTTATTTATACCTATAGAAAAAGTTGTAAGCATATTTAAAAGAATGAAGGTCTTGCCTTCATAGAAAAAATCATAGTATCTACCCTGTTACATTAGATCACTGCCAGCCAGAATATGCATTTAGAGGACTTTTTGTCTCCACCTGTACAACGCAAACTCTGTTACTGAAATCAAAGAGAATTGGCTTTATATTTAATAATATCCCTAAACTATCTACATTTAACAAGAGCAGGAAGAATTTAAAAAAACAAACTAAAAAATCTATCAGATTTACGAGAATTTGCTATGTTGCTCCTAGGTGATGG